ACAATTGTTTCAAAATTTCCCATTTTCTGATTAAGCATTCATTTTTATCAAGATCATTGAATGTTTAAGTGGCATTTCCCTGACAATCTTTCCCACTACCACCATCATATCATCATCATCATCATCATTGTCATCATCTCAATCTTCATCATTATCATCATCATCATCAAAATGAAGTGCTCATGAATCCAATGTGCTATCTCAATACGTAGGTACATTATCAATCGTTGGCTATGTCTTTTGTCAGTGTGTGGATGTGCGTGTGCGTGTGTGTGTGTTTTTGTCTGTCTGGCTGTTTTTGTTCAAAATACTATTTTATTCCTCACCCAGCAACTTGGCGCAAGTGAGATCTGGCAGTCTTGTAAAGATTGTCTAATGTTCAGTCATGCATGCAGAGATTCAAATAAAAATGGTACCTAAATGTACTGGGAGGATAACTCTATCAAGACATATCATGAAACCCATGATTGAATATTCATACCTCAAACAATACAACTTTTAAAAAGTGGGACATTTTTTCTGACTCACTCTGTATAACATCACATTATACTATGTTTCAAAATAAAATATAAAAATATAAAGAGTCTCCCAGACGGCGCTTTTAAATTAATTCCCTTCTTACCATTTCATTCCCCTCGATATCTTTGTAGAAACGCCATGTCTCAGATTCATTGGTACTATGCATGCTCCAGTAAACCAGTCGGTAGGAGGTGACCCAACTCAGAATAGTCTTCAGGCCTGCACCTTGGGTGATGATACCCGTCACGGTATGGAGCTCCGATAAATCAACCTTAAGATGTTAGAAGATGTGCTTTGAATTAATGTTTGCCTTAAGCTTATTTTTTCATGATTTGTTTTTGTAATTTTCAAAGTGTTTAACATGTTTGCAACTTTTAGAATTGCACAGACTCTATTTCTGACGGAAAATGGACGTTGTCGTGTTCTCAAAATGACAAATAGACTTGAATCAATGTTGAATGTCAACGTCCAAGAAACTCTGACCAATTTCCAATGGTAGCAATGTGCTTGCTGCATAAGATTTATGTTTTATCTATTATTAATTTTTATCTCATCCGATTGATCTGAAAAACCGTAACAATAGTATTCTCGTTACCTGTAGCCAGTCATTCCTTGCAAGAGAGCCCCTTGCACCCCAAAACGGCCGAGCGTCTACTGAGGGTATTGAAGGTAAATCACTCTCTTCAATATGCAGGCGGCCATGGTGTCCGGGTGAAGCAACATAGAAGGTGCTAGCTGTTATGGCTTTATTGGGGATGCGACCAGACTCCATTCCAAGTCTGTTGTTACAAACTAACAAAAAAGTGGGGATCAGAAAAACTTGTAAACGTATGTGTGTGTTCTTGTATGGAATATTATTCAGCTACTTCATGTAAACTCATTGGCGGACATTACGTCCCGGACCGAAATGTAAAAAATCTACTAATAAAGCAAATAGTAGGTAAGTGGTCATCAAAGCTATATAATCGTAATTCATGTTTTGCGCCAACGACGTATTCTATATGATTATGATACAAAGGCTTAATTTTATTTGTTAATGGAACAAAAATTCTACATGGAGAACTTCCACCTCCCTGCGAATACTTATTCTAAAAAGCGAAAGATTGGACATCTTCTTGTTTGAAACGCCTGCCACTATTTAATGTCAGCGTAATTTTGTTTACCCAGGGAAGAATCATCAACTTAACACTATTGTTCGGGACATGAGCTAATAAAAGTGAGTCCACATTTCCTTGAGTTCTAAAGGGAGCATGATTGCAAAGTAAGGTAAGTTCTGATGCCTTGTGCGCCACGTTTCGAAATATGTGGGCAGTACAATGACATGGTACATAATCCAAATATCAAACTAAGGCAATTCAATACGGTAATAAAATGTCTCGAATTGAGTTCTATACTAAGTCTTTGCGATTGTGTGAGCCAATGTTTCTTATATTAGGGTTTCAAATTCAAATAATTGACCCACCTCTGTTCTGGCATCCGATAAACTCAAGACGGAGGCAGATATCACGATACCACGTGACCGGATGAACTCTTACACGAAGGGTCGCAAATGGTGGATTCAGGTCATTGCGTACAAGAGTTGTCATGTCCCTGTTGCCTTCAAAAACCTTGTGAAATGAAAGAGATCATTACAATAACATGGTGCAATGAATTTGTATGTTCCGTTTCAGCAAAATTCTGGAAACAAATGATATACAAATAATCATGGGGAAAATCAAAATGTGTAACCGCATTCAGAGCCTCAAATCAAAGGAATAGAGAACGAACATGAAATTAAGTGTTTCATAATTCATGTGCATTTACAGCTTTGTGATCTGTTTAATAGTTGACATTTCAGCTCATAAAAAACCGATTCCTACCAAGAAAATAATTGACTATTACCTAAACGATCAGAGACAATGACTAAGTTACTAAGTTAGTCAGATGATGTAATCCTCTTCAAACTTTTCCTGTTTAATAACAAAAGATCTATTTTACCACTGTTCTGATGTCGTTGCGATACTGTGCGTCATCTTGGCCATCCGAGATTGTGTAAGACTTCACCCATGCTTCGATATCTAGACACCCTTGAGTGACCACGCCCTGAACTAACTTCTCACTGCCGAAGTTGATCTGAATGAAAAAGAAAGGAATTATAATAATAATCTTTTAGTCCACTCAAAATTTTATTAAACCGAAACGAAAATTCTTCTTGCCCTATTGATCGTGAGCCCGGCAGCCACTGATTAGCGCCAGATCGACGTTGCTCTATCCCTTATTGTTGAACGCCAAACAAGGTAGCAGTAACTCCCATCTTTTAACGTCTTTTGGTATGACGCGGCCGGGGATCGAACCCACGACCTCCCGGTTTTGAGGCGGACGCTCTACTGACTGAGCCAACACTCTGGTGACAGTATATGTTATATGGGAACCCCAAGATGGAGGAAACGATCAAAATGTCTTTTGGCCAAGATAAAAGAAAAAAGATAAATGTGTGAGCTTTCTCATCTTTTGTACGTCAGTTTGACTGTGTCCAGTGCATATGATATTATTCAGCAAGACTCGGCCGAATTATTCCCATTTTGATCAAAATTTTACAAAACTTTACCAAACTCCACAATATCCACCAATTGCAATTGCTTCCAGACAGTTTATTCCAGTGTATTCCAGCATGGCCAGTGCGCAAAGGAAGCCGAAAAATGTGAATGATGAAGGATTGTACCTACCTGTATCCATTGACCTGCAGATGATTGTGCTGGGATCCACCCATATCCGACTTGTTTGATGTATCCTACCCTGGCTGATGATGGAGGGTGGAGCGCATCACTGTTCCAGGATGATGCCTCTATCTGGTTGTCATGGATACGATTTAGGGTAAGTCCCATTACCTCATCACAATCTAAAATCAGGCGATAATAATTGCATTTAATAAACTGATTTTGTGAATGACATATTATGCTATAATATGAATATTCAAAACCGTCACTCAAAAAGACTCAATATTAGCAGTGGTAACAAAGTCATACCAAACACGTACAATCTTCTACATAGGCCTATGATCATGATAGATCAAAGGTGTCCTTTCCTTTTGACTGACGATAAATAATTTGAGTTGAATGGCATTTCTTCGACCCGAATCAAAAGAATAGTAGTAAGGGAGACACAAGTAATCTAGCATGTCTAAAGAGAGAAACGAAAGACAGTGTCTAAGGAAATTAATCCTACATTTTTTTTGCGGGAAATGAGGATTTCTATTTTACGATGCATTTCCTACAGAGCACCCATCTACACATCTCATATTTCCAAATATGCTGTTCGCGCCCTCTTTCTCCTTCCCTCTCTCAACCTTATACTCCTCTTTTATGCTGCTACTGTCAATGTGTTCAATCTCTTTTCAGCTTTCCCTTTGGTTTTCTACTTTACTCTCACTCTTTTGAATATTTAAAACAAATTTACGTCGTATGGAGGCACGGCCACACCAGAATTACAAAATAAGAAACGCCTCCTGGCGTGAACATGAATATGCATGAGCACCCTTCCTGATGAGGGAGTGTCTCCCATACCAATGTTATTTTCATTCTCCCTTAAACACTTTTTATCACCTTTGTCCCTTTGTATCACCCCCTCTCACTAACTCTCTTCACTATCCCCTTAACTCTCTTTCTCTCTCTCTTTCTCTCCAATCCTCCCCCTCTGTCTCTTTCGCTCTTTTTCTCCCTCCTTCCCCCTCTCTTTCTCCCCTCTCTCTCTCTCTCTCTCTCTCTCTCTCTCTCTATCTCTCTTTCTCTCTCGTTCATTAGATACCCGTACCATTGTCTAGACAGCCGATGATCCCGACAGAGAGACATATCTTGTTTTGCCAGGTCTTGGGTAGTATTCGTAGACATCTCGCACGGATAGGTGTAGGGAGGAAGATCGTCGTGCTGCATGTGGCTTCCGCGTTGGCAAACAATTCCTGAAATGAAAATCATTAGAAATAGAAAAAGAAAGGAGGATGAAAATGTGCAAGATGACAAAGGAGAATGAAAACAATTATTGTTGAATGAGGGGAAAAAGGAATTAGACGAGTAATAGTTTGATAAACTAATGATTTACTTTATACTTCTTGGGTTAAAATAAATCCATATATCAGTTCTGAATCCATTGAACTTTATGATACCGCATCATGCCTTATTAGGAATATTACACAGGATCTCTGATTATGACAAAACGAATTAAAGTATATGTACAGTGTTTGAACAGGAACATGACTTCTACAAAATTTCGTATGAAACGACTTTACTCGATGCTTATCAGTCCAAAGGCTCTGTGTATTCAGCAAAGGGACAATGTGGTAAAGTATGATTGTCTGGGTTAGAATTAGACGGATGCTGAGCTTATTTGTTCAGATCCAGTTAATGGATGAAGTAGGCACAGGCTCATGACTCTTGTTTGAGGTGCGTGCTGCATGTTGCCTTGTAAAACTGATCTTTATGAGTATTTCATATTTGATGAATTCACAATTATTTTTTCTCCTTTGCCAACAACGTCATGACAGCGAATTGACAATGAAAAATGCTTAAGCGAATAGCTTGATTGCTAGAAAGTGTCCATCTCTTCAAATCCTTCTGCCAGTCCCATTTAATGACTTTTTTTTTTATATGAAACTGAAATAATGAAAAATGACTTGCGTCTATTTCATAATTGACAAGATTCCACCAATACTCCCCGTCTAAGCTGTAGTCCACTTTAAATGAGTTAACCCAGCATCCCTCTCCATCCACCATCTTCTTGTTGCCACGGGTAACGAGACCAGTGATGCGGACGCGCTCGCTGTAACACACCTAGAATATAATCGAAATCCAAAATGAATTAATTTAAAATGGAAATCAAACTATCAGAATTCGATTATGAAATCGTTTTGGCTGTGCAATCATTGGAAAGAAAGATGAACATCCCAACCAACCAAAATGATTATAATAGTACAGCTACTATCTAAAACGATAATGATACTAGTGACGTTATAATTTACAAAGTATTTGCAAATAACTCATCAATATTCGCAAACATTTATAGAATGAATATGTCTTAATATTACAGTGCAAAAGGCTACATAGAATTGTAATATTATGACAAAGGAAACGGCTTTTTCCCATATAACTATCTTATGGAACAATCACAGTGTTGCTACAATATGTTTACATAGTCAACTATGTGTAAACTGTGTGGAGATTATGTGTTCACATTGTTGTCACAGTGTGGAGTTTCAGACCATGTGGTTTAACACATAATATCCAGATAAACTGACATACTAAACACTGAGTATCACATATTTTCCACAGTGGTATATGTATTGAACTATGTGTTAACTCTGTGATCACATTATTGTTACAGTGTGTGGTTAAAATCATGTGGTTTACCACATAGTCGTACATATTTAACACAGAGTGACACATATTTATCACAGTGTGGTATGTACTGAACTATATGATCATAGTATTGTCACAGTGTGTGGTTCAAATCACGTGGTTTACTACATAGTCGTACATATTTAACACAGAGTGACACATATTTATCACAGTGTGGTATGTACTGAACTATGTATAAACTCTGTGATCACATTATTGTCACAGTGTGTGGTTCAAATCACGTGGTTTACCACATAGTCGTACATATTTAACACAGAGTGACACATATTCATCACAGTGTGGTATGTGCTGAACTATGTGTAAACTCTGTGATCACAGTATTGTCACAGTGTTGGTTCAAATCATGAGGTTAACCACATATTCGTACATATTTAACACAGAGCGACGCATATTTACCACAGTGTGGTATGTATTTCACTATGTTAAAACTCTGTGATCACAGTATTGTCACAGTGTGGGGTTTCAGATCATGTGGTCTTCCACATAGTCGTACATATTTAACACAGAGTGACTCATATTTACCACAGTGTGGTATGTATTTCACTATGTTAAAACTCTGTGATCACAGTATTGTCACAGTGTGGGGTTTCAGATCATGTGGTCTTCCACATAGTCGTACATATTTAAAACAGTGTGCCTCATACTTACCACAATGTGATATAAATCACTATGTGTGAACTCTGTGTTCCCAGTATATTGTCAGTGTGAGATTTTCGGATCATGTGGTTTACCACAAGGTAATATCCACATAGTATGTAGGCTTATTTCCAGTTGAACCAGTTGATACCTGACTGTTGGCATATCTCCAGTTGAACCAGTTGACGCCAGTCAATTTGCATAATGAATATATGGTGCGTGCAGATCTATGTTTTTATACAGTTTATCTGAATTTAAAGCATATTTCTTAATTACTGATGAATTAGTTATATGCGATTCATTTTGAAAGTACAACAAAATATAAATTGCCAATTATTAGGATATTTAACTAGTTTGTATAAATTACATGTAATTAAACATGAATTAGAGAAATATTTACTATGAAATAAAATATATTCAATAAAATACAAGTATATGAGAATTTATGAGACACATTGAAACAAACAAGTCTACTTTTTACTAATGCCTTTACATTGGAAATTGCAGACGAACCGGTGATACTGTGTTCACTGTTGCCATTGGCAAAATTAATAAGTACAATTGCTACTTATAGCGTAAATTACTAATTATTTTTATCATCTGAAGGGTGTGGTAGACTATCTGGTGGATGCCACAGTTTCAGATTATGTAGTATGTGCCACAGTATGGTAGACTATGTGGTAATAGGGGCTTTTAGATTTGCGTGGACTGATACGTGTGACGTCCATTCAAGGCAGTGCATTAAAAGGACGTCGATCGTAGCAATCCCCATTGTCTTCGTGCGAATCTAAAAGTCCCTATTCATGTGTTTGGTCCCAGAGCGTACTATTACAGTGTGGGCCACATGTGATTTTGGGATATGTGGTAACGCTGTGGTGTACTATGTGGTGCGCACCACACCGTGGTACCACAGTGTGGCGTGCAGTGTGGTAGACTATGTAATTGACACCACATAGTACATCACAGCATTACCACATGTCCCAAAATCACGTCTGGCCCACATGTGGTAGCACGCTGTGTACCATTGTGTTACACTATGCAGTTTGTTTCACTATGTGGTTACACTGTGATTGTTCCATAAGGGTTATGATAGAACGTGTCATTATACTACCACAGCTAGGAAGACGTAAAATTTTGTTGCATTTTACAAGGCCGTGAATGGAGTTCCAAACCATAATCCTTTCTTTAAAGTGTCATACTTCGTTGCTGTTTTTAATTTTAGCCTTTTAAAAAATCATTTTGGATATTGGTTCGATGCGTATCACCCCCCCCCCCCCCCCAAAAAAAAGGAAAAAAAAGAATGCCACATCGTTCGAATGATACATTAATACACTGAACAACTGCTTTTCATCAATACCTGCCACCATTCTCCGGCCGTGTTAGTAATGGGAATCCAGGATTTGGTGCTTTCGAGACCGGTTTGATCTGGTTCGTAACCGTCCATATAACTGGATGCAGAGAAGCTTGCATTAATTCTTCCATTATTCAGCAAGGTATCTAGAGGCAACGGACAATCTGATACGGACAAAAGAAAATTATGAAGGTTTATCAAAAATATTTTTATCGATATAGTCTAGGGAGTAGGTACCGAAAAGCAAAATCTGTATCACTCCATGATATATCACATTCTTTAGAAATGACTTCGTGACTATTTATGTTTTTTGGTTTAAACAGGGACAAATTGGATTTTACCCAGTTATTTTCATTCATTAAAGTCGTATCGGCATTTGAAAGTTCCTTCCTTAATCTTTTGTGCGTGTTCCACATAAAAAGAACATGCCCTGTTAATTTACAAAGGCATTTGACTTGTATGGCTAAAAAAAGATTGGTGAAGGCTACAACAAGGTTTGAATGACAAGAAAAAGTTCCTACTTCTCGTGGCTAAAAACATGGGAAGTGCATCACAGATCATAGGTTTCCTTTTAAATACAACATGTACATCTAGGCAGCCTAGCCCCAGACTCAGATTCATATTATTTTATTTACCATTTTCAAAATTTCAAAAATAATGATCACACAAACGACTTCAGGTCAGGGGTGAAGTATGAATGAGTGTGAATTTCTGACATATTTTCTCCTCTTCACATTAAAGTCTTTACTCAATTTCACAAACACCTGTCCAGTAAATACCACGAGCGAAAGAAAGAAAAAACACTTTCTACGCCTAGAAACTGGTATACAATAAGTCGTAATGAGAGACGTCAAGTGTTTTATTTTTAAAATCAGAAGAACTTGATATAATATATTAAAACATACCTAGATCTATTATGTGTTTACTTACCGGCTTTAAGCTGCACGTAATCTGGTTTGAAAGCATCACATACTGTAAATGAGAAAAAGGGAGACATTACGAATTTGGGACTGAATACGAAGGGGGTGAAAGATAACATGGATTAGCAGATAGAGATAAAAGTGACAAGGAATAAGTAGACACAGTGAGTACCATGCGTATACACAGGCGGATATTACACATGGCGAAAGAGAAAAGTGCTATATCCTAATTGCATTATTTTTTTATATTCTTAAACACTTTTCAACACTACTTCGGTAAGTAATGCTACGGTCACAATGGTTCGTACGAACGATAATTTCGTACGAATCTCCCTGTTTTTCCATTGTCTTCCCGAATTTCCATTGTCTGAAAATCGTTCGAACGGCGTTCGTAGCAGTTTGTAATGGCATTCGTGACCGAGGCTTTGAGCCTTTCAATACATTCTTATTTTCATAAAGCAGACCTACATGTAGGAAGCATCCCCCTCCCTTTCTGTATTTATTCATAAATGCATATAATTATCTGGGGCTCAATTCTAGTTCTCTATCCCTGGGCCCCGTCTTACAAAGAGTTGCGATTGATCCAAATAAACGCAAGTTTGCAGTCTCCTATCTCATATACATAGTTGCCGTTGATATCAAATTTTTGTAGGACAGGATTCTAATGTAAAATAAATGGAATAAATGATACATTGTATATAATATATATACTTACTTTTATCTATTCGCGTGAACATGTCATTATCCAGCGAATAAAGGTCAGGGTTGGTCAAATTTCTGGCTAGGTCTAGAGTGTATACGCTCTGGGATGATAAGGTACATTTCCGGTCGTTGTAAGTATGCACATCCCGAAACTTGAAAGAAAGACACGAGAACGATTCCTCATGGAGGCACTGGAGGGCGCACTCCTCTGACGTCATATTGGCGTCTTCTATGACGCGATCATCGTAAGATATGAAACGCGTGAAGATCGTCTGGTGAAAGTTTGAGAGCGCGTCAGTTGTACCTGCAAAATCATTGCATTCAACGAGAAGATTATGACTTGACATAATTTAGAATTGGTCTGCAACATCGCAAGGAACCGTGAAATGAGCTTTTGTTAATCATATATTGAGCAAAGTCACCACTGTTATTGTTGCGTTAAGAAGATCTCTGTTAGGCTTGAGCCTGATGCAGACAAAGCATCATCTCACTATGAATATGACGGACAAAGAAAGAGGAGTAAAATATACAGTTCCTCATCCTACCCTCAATAATTGCTGTGGTAGACAAAGGAACATCCCTTCACTGCTATTATGTAAAAATCTGCAGAACAGGTGAATATACATGTGACACCTGTTCTCCTCATTTTTACATAATACGTCCTTGTTTTCACGAAGTGACGGTAGCGAGGAAAATCGTAACGCAAAGTGAATGCAATTTTTTTTCACTTCGTGAAAACAGCGACGAAATTTTAGCAGTGAAGGGATGTTCCTTTGTCTACCACAGCAATTGATGAGGGTAGAATGAGGAACTGTATATTTTGTCCTCTTTCTTTGTCCGTCATATTCATAGTCTCTATAGCTCTCTCAAAACGCTCCCGATACCCTCATGCCTAGAACAATAATTGTGAAATATCATAAAATTATTCTTTCGTCATTAATCATTCATTTAAATATTCATACAGTATTAGTTTTAAAGACCTACTTCAGGGGAAATATTCAAATAGATTTTTCCCCCTTCTAAATACTTCATCAAGTTTAAAAAACAGTTCATACTGTATGGGGTACCAGGGAAACCATGGATACGGTATACTGACAGGCTCCACAATATCGATCATATCAAGTTGCTATAACATAATCGAAATATGATATATTTGACTTTTTTTTGCAAAGCCTATTTCTTTTCAATTCACATAAATGACAACAAAGCCAGGCCCTTGTAGGATTGTACATGGCGGTAACAATATGAAATGAAACCCTGCAGCTTATTTATTACTGAAAGCCGTTCATGCAATTTAGACTTGGATTGGCAGATAGACATTAAAGAGACAGGGGATATTAAAGTAGATATAGTGAGAACCACGCGCAAGCACAGACGTCTATAAAAAAAATACCGCAATATCCGGTATAAATATATTCAACTCTGGTATATGAGGTCCTCTCAGTGAAAGGATACAGACGACATGTACTTACACTCGTCTATCTGACAGAAATCTGACAGGATTTCGCTGCTCTCTGGACTCTGGTAATAACACCATGGCCTATCCCGTCCGTCTGGGTTGCGGCAAAAATTCTTATCCAACCCTAGTTTCATGTATAAAAGAAAGAAAGCCCAATTAGCAACAAGGTGAATGATGGTATTTGTTACCTGAAAGAAAGAGAGTGGGCCTATTATGTGTAAGAAATGGAAATACATAAAGAATCTGTATCAGATGTCTTCGAAGACTAGATCAATAAAAATGAACGGATATATACAAATTATATCAAAGATAATAATAAAATTAGTAATCCTTGAGAGGGTGTTAATTTCATTCGCTTTTCTACCTGATCGAGGATAGAAAGTGGTGTCTGTCACGGTGTCCCAATTCAAACAAAGATAGCCCGACTCGGTGTGTTTTCCATAGCCACGGTAATCTTCACCAGTACCATTAATGCAGCCAGCGTGGACTGGAAGTTGGAGAAGATAAAGAAGACATAAGTTATAAAGACGGGTATTACATAAGTTTTAGTATAGGATTTCCCGGCCAAATTCGCGTGTTTGTCATTCGAATTCATTTACTTTGCATTTAAGTTAGCGCAGATCGGCTTTGCTATGCCAATTATCATTCAATTTTCCAGTTTTTGTATTTAATTTAGGATTTGGGTCGAAAGGTTTCATAGATCTGTCATTCTCAACTAGCATTCAAATTAATATTCACTTGTCGAAGCGTAATTTTTATCATTCAAATTAACACCTGTCATTCGTATTCGTAATATTTTTATTCAAGTTAGGAATGTTAGGGGGAAGAATTGCAACAAACTTTTACAGTTTTTAAATAATGCAGTTAAAATGCATGATTTGCCATTGGGGTCTAAGCTGTTTCATTTATTCCATTTTTTCATTTTCAGGACAATGCAGATGGGTGTTGTCAGACATAAAGTAAAGAAGGGCGAAATCAAGGGATATGGCATTTCTGCACGGACATGTTAATATACCCGGGAAAGGTGGGGGTACCCTCAACCGCCCCTTTTTACTACAGACTCGGAATTTTACAAAAGTAATTCACATCGTCTCTTATACCCAGCACACCCTCTGTTTTTCTTAAAGAGTTTCATAGTTTACTTGCCCGCCAGCAGATCGATGGCTAAAGACATGGCTAAATATATAATAAATCATGTTCAAATTGTTGACTCTAGTCCCTACCCCAGTCAAAATATTGTACCCTTCTTCCATAATGAAATTATGATGAAATTATGATAAATTTATGATGAAACATAAGACAAACAACTTCCTTACATGAACATTAACAAATATATTGAGACCATCAGGTCCGTAGATGCAAGTCGTTTTTTTCTTCTTAACAATCAAACTTAAATGCTGATGAATATCAGATAAATCTAATATGTATACGTGTATAAATGCAAGAAAATGAAATATGATGAAATACACATGAAAAAACCAATCTTGAAAGAAAAAGAATGAGCTATAAAAAGTGTGTAATAAACGAGAAATGTATATATTGACCATCAATTTAAGTGCACAAAGTGCTAATTTAAATGCTACAAAATATGAATTAGAATGCTAGAATTACACCGTCGCGTTGCCAGAAAATCGTGTTGCGCCAAATCGAATGACCAAATAGTGAAAGAAGGACATTGTTCATTAATTTGAATGAAACATACGGAGATTCTAACGAAAATTCCATAGATTTGAAAACTAGAAAAGGGAATATGAACCCGAGATATACCTGCCTGCACTAAAACCGTCGAATTTGAACGCAAGACAAATTAATTTGAATGACAAACTCGCGAATTTGGCCGGGAAATCCTATACTAGATAACATCCAGTAATGATGCCTTTGTAAAAAAAAAAAGAAGAAAAAAAAGAGGGAAACTGCCAAATTCCACCTGTCGGCACCGTGGTAATAGGTAGCGGCTTTAGGGGCTCAAGTGACCCCCCCCCCCCCCCACACACACACACACACAAAGGATGGTTGGTTTGATGCACAGGTTAAAACCCCTCCTATATTTCTCTAATCGCTTACTCCCCTCCTTCGCAATAGAAGTCCACCCCCTCCTTCATAGTTGAAATCTCAGCCCATGCAGTATAAATGTGGATAGTTATTATTCTGTATTCACCGTCCCCAACCCAGGTATGGATAGCTGTTACCAGGGTTACTGATGGATCGCCGAATGTGTGACCGTGTAACGGACATAAGGGCTTTATCATGTTTATGAGGTATGACCTCCGCGAATATTGTGCATTCTCCTCTACGATAAGTTGATCACATGACGCTTTCTAATGAATGTTGAACAAGTAAAGATAGATATTCTTTTATTCTGTAACAATGTATGTTTCAGGTCAGACGATTTTCATCTACCTTTACATTAAAACTCATTGTAAAATGCTACAGAGTTAATGTCACTTTAGAAACCAAAGAAGACACATTTTTCAGGTAGAGCAACTTAAATCTACCTCAATACAATTTGATTAGTTCTGCGTGTATTTCCTGCCTGGAGGTAATAGCAAACAGGGAGTTCAAGTTCTATTCATAGAAAGTGCTTCATTTTGTGGTATCACGTTTCAATACGGGTATTATTTTGTTTGCATTTCAAAGTCATGGAAGGATGGATCATTAAACTGACTTAATTTCCTACCTGCCATACTCATTATAAAGTGTCAGTCATTACTTGTAAAAGTGAGGAGTATCATGTTTTATATACCTTTCTTTAGTATGTTGAATAAATCTAGTCATCTGATCTGATTGGTCGAAATTGGAGTCGTGGTTTTAGCCATGCACGTAAAGAAGCCCATAGAAACAGTTATATACCTCACTTAAGAAATCCAGCCATCTGATTGGTCGAATTGCATTCATAAACTTCAACTGTTCCTGTAAAATTCCCGGTAACCATGCATAAAACATTTCAATATTTTTAATAACCATGGTTATTAAAAAAATAGGTCAGTCTCCATGGTTACCCCATAGGTTTACATGTTAAAAAATGGTTTGAGCGATGGAGGATACCATACGTGTGCGAATAATTGGTCGGCAATTTCAATACAATTGAATCTCGATCGATCTTACCGACAATTTTATCTTGCATTGTTGACATGAAGACGAAAATTAACTCTCAAAAACAAAAAAACAACATCTGCCGATAGATCTTGATCTAAGTTCGTGCCAATATGCATTGCAAAAGTAAAAGAAGGGTCCGTTTCATGGAGCTTTTGCGAAGCATTCATCACACGCAAAGCCGGTTTCAATCCATTTTAATGTATATATAGTACAAAACTGCCATGCATGTTAATAACGCGCGATGGCCGAGAGGTCTGAGGCGCTGACTTTAGATACATCACCTTTTGTACGCAAGAGTTCGAATCTCATCTTGGACCAAAAAAAAAGTATTTTTTATTTTTTATTTTTTAGTCTATTTTTTTTCGGCATATAAAAGTATTAATGACTGCTTTAATATTCGAGAAATAGTTGTTTTCATACGCTCTCGGGAAGGTTACAATTGGGCTATTCCCCTCGGCAAGCCTCGGGGAATAGCACAATTCTAACCTTCCCTTGAGCGTAATAAAACAACTATTTCTCTCAAAGCAGTCATTAATACTATACTATGCCTCTCGTTATAGCAGTCAATATTATATTTATATACCTCATTTTAGAAATCTAGCCATCTGATTGGTCGAAATTGGAGTCGTGATTTTTAGCCATGCCCCGCCTACCAGTCAATAGTCTTTTAAAAAATGCCCTCGAATCCGCCTATCAGTCAATAGTCTTTTGAAAAGTGCCCTCATACTGCGATCCCCATTGGTTTACGTGTTAAAATTGTCTTTGTATGAGCGCGGACACCATACAGTGCTTTTTGTCTGCGATTCCCAAATGATTGAATCTTTCAGTAATTTTTCCAGCGAAGATTAATAGACAATGTCTCAGATTTTCCGTGATGTTTAAACCAATCCTTACTCAATAAAAGGAAAAGGTAAGAATTCTTGGTAGATTTTTGTTTCAATTCAGCATATAAAAGACATATTGACTGCTTTTATATTCGAGGTCTGGCTGTTGGCTCTCGAGAACGTGCACGGCGCGCCGCCCACCCAGGCGCGCCTCGGGTTCATGGCAGGATGTGCACGTTCTCGAGAGCCTATAAAACAGCCAGTCTACTCAAAGCAGTCGATATCTCTATATAATATAATCATGACTATGATCACAAGAGTTTGAAAGTTTGGCTTCAAATGAACTGCTCCTTCTCTCTCTCTCTCTTTCTTACTCTCTGTCTCTCTATCTTACTCTTTCTCTTACTCTCTGCACAGTAAAAACGCTGCTTAAAAAAGTGATGTTCACTTACAGTTGTACACTATCTTAAACAACAGTTGAACAAATTGTAAACAATGTTGCTCGAAACGAAAGTAATTTTGTTAAACATTCGCTGTTTAAAATTTAATGACTGCTATATTTACTACACGAGAGCTTTTAGACAGTGTTGTTTACATATGACGTCATGTGTCACGTGCCAGTAAAGTGCGCGTTGGCTAAAAGCTTTGTTTCACATCATGTCCGACCAAGCTGTAGAGGTGTCGTGGATGAGTGGAAACGTCGCCGGACTGTCGATCACAAAGTCCACGGTTCGAGTCACGCCGCGGCACTAATGTCCTATGGCAGCCTAGCATAGCCGGGTAATGTTGGAGCGCCTTGAGGACCTTGCAAGGTCGGTACGTGCGCTATATAAGAATCCAATAGTATCATTATTATTTAACAACGGCTCCTTTTTATACAACTTTCTTTAAACAACCCATTTGGTCTGAACAACAGCTCCTTTTTAAACAACTTTCTTTAAACAACCCAGTTGGTGTAAACAAGCCCCACTGAACAACAGCTCCGTTTTAAACAACTTTCTTTCAACAACCCAGTTGGTGTAAACAACCCCCACTGAACAACAGCTCCGTTTTAAACAACCGTCTTTAAACAACACCGGTTGTTTAAATTGTGATTTTAAACAAGTTGTTCAAAATGTTCATCAACTAAGTGTTTAAACTTTAAACATCTCGAGTTGCTTAACATTTTAAACAACTCTTAGATCAGGTCGCCCGTTAATCCAAAGTTGTTTAAACTTTTAAACAACATGTTCACTAAAATTTTAACTGTGTGTCTCTCTCTTTCTTAATCACTCTCTCTCTCTCTCTTATTCTCTCTCTCTCTCTCTCTCTCTATCTATCTCTGTCTGTCTGTCTCTCTTTATATTGCCCGGCCTGTGATCATGTTGTATTGTTTCATGCCTCCTTTACTACAGTATAGTGACATGGTTGTTTGTCGTACACATTCCCTAGTAAATAATGTTCGCCTATTAATGTCGCATACCTATATACACACACCCCTATACCTATACGCCCATACATACGCTAATACATACGCACTAAAATACATACATACATATGCTGGTCTAATTGTGCCATTACCACAAGTGAAAAGGAAAATATAATGTAATTCATATGCACACCTGTATCCTTAGCTACAACGTATATAATTCAGTTGCATGTACAAAATGAATATGTTCTGCAATCGAAATCTCATAAAAAATACCATATCTTATTTAAATCATAATTTTCTCTCTGTTATCACAACATGAAATTCATCTTAATTTATATAGTAGTGAGCATCTGCCATCGGATATAAACAAAGTGGTAAATATACCCAAATTATCTCTACATTGAATTCTCCCTCCCTCTCCCTCTCCCACCCTCTCTCTCTCGCTTTTTCTTCCTCCTCCTCTTTCCCCTGTCTCTGTCTGCATTACTCTCTCTCTCTCTCTCTCTCTCCTCTAGTAAAAAATGTTTTGCTAAGTGTCAACGTCACAATGTTAAATAAAATACCATTGTCATGAGTTGCTGATCTAAAAATGAACCTTTAAAACTTACCTCGAACCCAAGTATTACAACTTACCTGCACATGGTTGTATCTGGCAAAAACCTGGTGTTACTTCTCCATTTCTGTTTATTACGTAACACCATGGTGCTGTCCAGTTTCCCGCTACTCGGCAATGGTTGTCCTCCAATTCTGCAAAAATCATAAATGAAAAACAAAAATAAATACATTGAATTAATACAATAAAACAAAAACAAAAGTGTCCATGAGTCAAAATCTAAAATGTAATAGTGAAGATTGCGGCTTTGGAGAACATCTGCTTGGTTTGATATGGTTTCGTAGCTTAACTTTCATTAATTTTATCGAACGAAATCGCAAAAACTTCGAAAAATCAACTCCAGGGAAATTCCAATCCAATATTATAATTGCCTTTTGAAATCATGTTCGGGTTACGTAACATTTCATTGTAATGTTCACACATTTCAAAAGGTGACTGATGCAGAAGGTTGTTGAAATTCCCTTCGGTTGAATTTTCGAAATCTTTATGATCATGTTATCTCTATTAGTTTCATTTAATTAGAAGGCAGATATAACAAAAAGATTTACCATTTTCGATTGTTAGTCATTTTACTAGGAAAAAGCTCTCTATTTAATTTTTAGAGTAATAAAGAACATAAAGGATCACCCTAACAAAACGTCTCGCACTAATACTTTTACATGCGATCGTCGTCTAAAATGACGACGATAGGATATGAAGAAGGACAATGTGAAATGCTATAAGTACAAGGCCCAGAACGAATGGAGAGACGAGAGACAGCTATATATGTATACATAATCATTTGAGAAATGGGTATCTATCTCGGAAGCGGGACTTTCTTTCTGAGTTATTCTGATCATTATGGTGACCAACATATTCATCATATTTATGATGGAACCTATAGAGGAGACTTTAAAAATAAAATCGTGCGAAAAAGGGCATTTATCTACCCCCAGTACATGCTTCCATATAACATATCATAAAACTTTATCACGCACGATTTTTCACGTTCGAACTATTCTTCTTATCTCTTTGCAAAGCGTATTATTATATATCTTAATTACATTTTTAAACATTAATAAGTATAACAAAAGTGTTGGACAAAGAGATCTTTTTTGTTCTTTAAACAATCCCACTCCATCTAACACACGACAACCATGCACCATTAACTAACCACTCCTGCATCTCTTACTCTAATTCAACTGATCTCATTCACCGTTTCATTTTCATGTCGCCGTGCCTCTACCCTCATACTTTATAATCACTCCACCGGTATAATAAATTCAATTCAACTCGACAAGAATATGAGTGCAAAACCTACCTCTTTATAAAATATTTAGTTCATTACTTCCAGCATCAATATGTATCGGCCTATATCATAATGGATTGTGTTCCATTCATGCCCGATTTTTACATGAGGTCTTGTGATAGAAGCAGAATTGACAGGAGGACATTTTAAGCGATTCCCTTTTCCTGACGAGTATCCGCGCACGTTTAAAATGTTTGTTTTCTAATTCCTAATCATTACTGATATTGCGGCAGGCGTATCGTACCATAGAGGAATAATGATCGAGACTAAGTCAGAGCCAGATTACGTAAAAGCAGGCGCGGATCCCCCCTCTATATTCACCGGCTGGCTGAGTGGCCGCTAGATATTTCCTCAAAAATTGGTGAAAAAAGAAAAGAAAAAAAAGGGCTCCTTATCCCCCCCCCCCGGTTATTCACCGGCTGGCCGATTCGCCGCTAAATATTTTCTTACGAATTGGGCCACCCCCCCCCCTCTTGCCGCCGACTGGATCCGCCCCTGCTTAAAGCCCCCCCCCCCGTTTTATGCATGTAAAAGAGAGCCTGAGTAATGTAGCATATAGTAAGCATACACACCTTAGCTTTTAGCGAAGTAAATGCATGGACTTTTCAAAGGACATCAATAAAATAAACATTGAAAACTCATTTGCCATACTGTACGATCACTTATTCATGTTAATGATTGTGATTATGTGCATTAAGGGGGGCTCTTAAATGCCACGCCATGCTACGATGCGCCATTAAAAAAAAACGTTTTAAGAAGAAGCAGAAGAACAAGAACAAGAAAAACAAGAACATGAAAGAAGAAGAACAAAAAGAACAAGAAGAATCACGGTTAAGCTATACACATGAATGTTTTTCCTTTGAAGATTCACTGATGTCTAGATTATATTTTTGCCCTCTGGATTTTAATTACGACTGATCTAACTGCGCCTCATTAATTTCCTCGATAAAATGTCCCAATATTTTGATTTGTGCGATACCAGGGAACACAATGATGAAAGACGATCGATACAGTCAAGTGATGAAAAAAGTTCATAACCATGTTTCTGAGCAAAAATATACAGACAACGAAACTCTCTCTCCCTCTCTCTCTCTTCTCTCTCTCTCTCTCTCTCTGTTAAATCAACTCAACAATAGTATTTTACCATTCAGTGATATTTTCAACAACGATATTTCACCAGTGGTATTTCAACATTGATATTTTGATATTGGGAAGACTGATAAAATGTCGATGCTCATTACTGTGTAGATCTTTGAGAGTGCATGAATGGGAATAATGTAAGCGTCATTGGATTGGGTTTGTTCATTTAACCTGATCGCTAAGAAATCATATATGCTTGCTAGAAGGTAAGCAACAAGGAACAGACTGCTTTAATTCCTCTCCGAGGGACTTTGTAATGATGATTAATGCCTTACCAAACGGCAAAAACGGACCTCCCGTTTACGAGACTACACTCTAAAAACTGAAATGTTAAATCACCATTTAAAAGGGTCGAGGAGTGACCACTCTTTCAAAATGGTAGATTAACACTTTGAACATGCTGGATCCAACACTATAAAGGTTGAATCTAGCAGGTTAAAAGAAACAATCTGACATTTTGAAAGAGTGGTCACTCCTCGGCCCTTTTAAATTTACATTTAACATTTCAGTTTTTAGAGTGTACCTATCTGCCACTTGGCCATATATCGCACCTCTTCTTGTAAATTTCCAATTCTTACAGAGTGAAATGAAGGTAATTTCTTTGAAACTTTCTCATTGCATAACAAACAACAAGGTGTCACTTTCATTTACAATCATGGTCTTCATTCATAGTCTTATTTTCGTATCAGGTACATGTAAATGCTCTAGAAGTCCTGTTCATCTCGACCAATATTCATCAAACATTACTACGCTGGTTGTCATCTAATTACGTAGGCCATAACACTAGATAGTTAGTTGACTACCAGGCTTAGTGAGTTTTTGTATTAGTTTATTTTCTTATTAATATGAGCCCTGATTAACAAATAAATGATGAACTGAATGTAAATAGTGAAGTCTCTTCTTCTACCATGCATTTAAATTATACTTATATTCATTAAAAGGCTTTCATTCATTCATTCATCTAAGTTCGTTCAGATTTTGCCAATTCCCGAAAGCCTTCTTGTTTTCAACACAAAACAATCATAAATCTTAAATGATAAATCCATTCAAATATTCTGTAGATGTATACAGATTATATTTTACATTATCAGCTGTATAATGTAAGACATTGTTCAGTATATGGTCATTTTTTAAATATCGGTTGTAATGGTAGATTAATGGTATTTTATTTTTGTATACTTGTAAATTTCATTTTATGATATTGTATTGTACATAATCTGTTGGTAATTAAATCAAATCAAATCAACTTTAGCATAAAAAAATGAATACTAAAATGAACTTAATGAATATTGAAACAGACGGGTTTCTTATTCCATAATCTTTAGCCACGAGCCATCGCACTTTTAAAAAGATTTTCCCAAGTCTTTTGATAACTGTTCTTAGTAATCAATGCAATTTAACATAAGTCAATCCAAAATAAAAGAGCCCACTGCCGACTGTATATAGTAAAGATAGGGAAACTTGTCTGCTTATGCAGTATTTCATTGGACAAACAACACCAAACGAGTCTTTGAAGATATTTTTGTTTTGTTTGATCCGTGTCATTCGATTTGAAGGAATTAACTGATAAGACTTGATAGACACAGTCAGATTCAAATCGTACATTCTTAAAAGAACTTTGAATCATATGGGTATAGAGTAAAATACAATTTACCGTATCTATCAATCAGCTCAGGTGCGTTGCTCCAGTTTCCAACGATGGAGGTCCAGTTTTCACAGTATTTACAATCAAGTTTGCTGTCTGTAAGAATGCAAGACCAGTCCCGAGTCCCATAGTAAGACCAGGTCCGACGATTAAAGCAGTCCAACTGACCTGCAATCAACCATACAAAATCAAGATTAAGGAAGAAACAAACTCTGACCTGCATAAACAGATAAACATTCCCCTACATGAGAATCTCTTTCTTCCGTCCCGTAAATGCGCTTCTTCTTTGTTCATCAGACAAGTAGGCGTTTATACATGTATTGGTAGTATTGGGTATAATAATTATCATACAGTCATAAAATCAAAGAACACTAATTTCCCTGTCTTAACTGCGATAGATGAATAGGACTGGTCTAAAAATTATACGCAAATTGATGTTCGGGTCTCCTAATTCATATTATAGGTTTTATCTCATCGTGAGCTGATTTACACAAAAAGTTCTTTTAAGATGGAGGATAAGTGCCCGATAAGCTCTGTACCGGGCCCCTAATTATCTTTAGTTCTTTTGAAAGAATAATCGGAGAAATCCTTTAAACTTTTTAAGTTTCTCTACCAATAAAAAACGAAAGAAAAAACAACTTTACCCACGTATTCGGAGTTGATTTTCTCTTTTATTGTTCATGGAAAAGGGGAATACAAAGTTAGTCTATGTTACCTATTTTTAATGAACAAAGAATTAACGGCACTATAATTATGGAACATACAATGAAACAAAATAATGACAAGACATACTTCAATATACGTATACATATATTGTATTATTTTACAAATTAAAATAGCATGAGGGAGGGTAGACTGTGTTAAAACCAACATTTTCACCTCAATGTTTTTATTTTGCAAAAAAGTCAATTAGAATTTGACATTTGAATCTTAAATAATAAAATTCAAATATAATTAATTAAAGACATCGACATGTAACATTCAAGGTTGTAAGACATATTAGAAGACAACGAAATATATTGAACTCACCATTGGATGATCCTAATAAGCAGATGATAATAAAAGTCGACAGGACTGATAATATGGCACCAGATTCATTCCAGCGAAACATTTTAGTAGTTCATTCATTCATCGTCTGTATATGGAAATCATGAACCACTTGATGATCTCTGACTCGTGGAAGAAAAAGTAATGCAAACCAACAATGCTCACTCGCTTTATCGAAGAATGCATCCAACCTAATACATGTTGTAAAGGACAATTACGATGAGCAGGAGGCAGGCATTGAGCTGTGTGGAGGCCCTAATGACGCTTTTATTGGAACGCAAACTCACTTCCCAAAAATCCATACATGCGAGCTGGGGCGTACGCAGGATTTTTTCAAGGGGGGGGTTTTAAAATATTTTGCTCCCGAAAATTTGAAAATCGCGCCGGCCGAAAAGTCGCTCAGTGGGGGGGGGGGGGGGGGGGGGGGGGGGGGGGGGGGTGGGGGGGGGGGGGGTAAGCGGACACTTTTTTTTTTTTTTTTTGGAGGTCAAAAAAAATCGCAACGACTCAGCCAGCCGAAAAGTCGCTCAGTGGGGGGGGGGGGGGGGGGGGGGGGGGGGGGGGTAAGCGGACACTTTTTTTTTTTTTTTGGTCTCGAAATTTAATAATTTGACATTTTTTGTCGTTGGGGGGGGGGGTAAGGTCACCTTATTTAGGTTAGCCGTGGGTATAATTTTTTTTTTTTTTTTTTTTTTTTTAAATAATTAAAAAAAAAAAAAAAAAAAAAAACCAAAGGGGGGGGTTTTAGGTTTTTTTAGGGGGGGTTTACATACATAAAAATACCAAAGGGGGGGTTTGAACCCCCAAACCCCCCCCCCCTGCGTACGCCCCTGCATGCGAGCAATAAGTTACCATGCAGACTCCTCGACCTCGTAATTAAATTTTTTGGACTGACATTCTAAAGGTGAATATCATACTAATACATTGAATGTTACACCCGAAAATTGAACGATATAAATAGAAACAGATACACATGTACAGTCGTACAAACGAACTCAAACTGCGACTAAGTTCGTTGAATGTAGACTTGAGGTAGGCATGAAAGGTTATCGACGATTCGGAAACACTCACCGCTGGTAGATTGACTTGATTAACTTGTAGGATTTCACGTTGATCCCAAATTTTGTTGAAATTGATTTATGATTGATTCCGAAACACTGCTCAAAAGCAAATACATGTAATAATTTCTGTGGTAAACACGTATATACACGACCTGTATAATATTATGCACTTTTTAACCCCAAACTGGAATTTTCGACCACTATCAAGGCCATTAATACATTGTGATCGTTCTTGTCGGCTTAATATGTAAGTAGGCTCATAACGATTTTTTTCCTCTCTTTCCTTCTCTCTCTTTTGTATGGTATAATTATTAGTAGTTTGTGACGCGATCTGAGACACCTTCAAAGCGACCCATATGTCATGAAGAATGAGAGCAGTAGTGACGCTCTCCTAATCAGTCAAAGCTCTCGATGACGATCTCAGCTAATTTAGTAGCTCGTACTTGTAGCTCGTTCAATTCTTCTCTCAGCGCGCGCAACAATCCTGTCGGAGTTTTTTTTCTCTTCTTCTCCTTCTTCTTCTCCCCCCCCCCCTCCCTTTAAAAAAAAGTAACACGCGGGGATCTGATTGGAAAAAGGAAACAACTGCTGAAAAAGAAAATTCGCTCCAGATGACATGCATTTTTGCAAAAGAATAGCAGTTGCGGGTTGCCCCCAGACAAAATTCAAACTAATTCAATACCAGTGATATACAAAAGTTGCTGAATTGACATGATTTACCGAGATTTTTTCTCATTTTGTTGTTGTAAATTATACTTTTTTATGCGTTTGTTGGAAAATGACAAATTCCCAAATTTACAGTCAGCCAAAAATCTGCTTATTTAGAAGGCTTCATGTCAGGGCCTGAAGAAAAGAGGGGCTCGGGGGCTCGAGCCCCCCACTAATTTGTGAAAAAAAGTATGTTAAAGGGTAAAGAAAGAAAGAATGAGTGACCTGCCAGGGTCACAAATGAGGTATGAAAATATGTTCATCTGACCGTAATTAAATACCTAAAACCCCTGAGCTCACGGGGGATCCGCCCCCTAGGACCCCACCAAGGGGCCTAAGACGGGCCCCTTGATGCTCACCTGACCGTAATTAAATGCCTAAAACCTTGAGCTTCAGGAGGCTAAGCAACAATTACAACCGCAAACTTCCTCCTCTTCTAAAACCAAGGCAAACATATTTGGAAATTCAGTTGGTCTTTCCATGATTCTGAAAGAAGGCGAAGATGTACCTTAGTTATTCTGGGTACTTTTAAAAGAGGAGTTCAGGGAGTGTCCTTCTCAAACAGAACCGCTACCACAAATTATTGAAAGTTTGGACGAAATCGGCTTTTAAAGAGGCTAAATGCTTCCAAAAGATGACTTTGAAAGCGAAGGGGCTATATTATTGATCAATGTCTGGGCCTTCAAATTTAATATGGGGGCGTACTCTAATTCCAGTCTATACGGCTTGGATTATATTAGTTTTTCTCATTTCCCTTTCTTCTTCTTGTCCCTCTCCCCTCCCCCATTCCCTGTTCTCTCTTTCTCTCCCTCTTTTTCCCCTTTCCCTCGCCCTCTCTCTTTCTTTCTCTCCCTCTCACTCTCTCTCTCTCGATCCCTCTTTGTGAAAGTTAATATCATATGTGGCATGCTTGCTGTCTTCATATTACATGGTGAATCCGAGAACCGCCCTCACATTATGAACACATATAGAGGTGCCAAGAATTATCTTTAATCTTTAGAACTGTGCTCTTTGTAAACAGCACAAGATCATATTTATTACGCACATTGTACAGAGCACGCTTAACCTGGACATTTTCTTTGATAATCGGTCATGACACAAATCAGACCTTATTGCTCGGTTATTAGCTTTTTTTAGAATATACAAAAGTAAGAAATGACATGTCGGTTCGACTTGGTAAACATTAATTATTATCTCTCTTGCCTGACATTTAATATTTGGATATTACAGAAACCCTTTGCTGTGATTTCAGCACAGGACTCATAATGATAAACTGCATGTGATGTAATTAAATAATTATACAAATAATAATAATAAGCTCTTATATAGCCAGTCGCGGATCCAGGGGGCACAGCGGGCACGTGAACCCCCCCCCCCCGGTAAAAAAAAGAGGAGGGGGAAGAAAAAGGAGGGGAAATAGAGAGAAAGAAGAAGAAAAGAGGGAGGAGAGAAAAGGGGAGAGGAGAAAAAGGAGGGGGAAAGGAAGAAAGAGGAAGAGAGAGGAGAGAAAAGACGGGAAAGGGGGAAAGACGGAGGAGAGAAAAAGGGGGAAATGGAGAAGGGAAAAGAAAGAAAGGGGGATGATATTATAAGATGGTGTTTTTTAAAACTTAACTTTCAATTGAGATTTACGACACACAAAATATGGGTCCCTCTTGCCAGCCGTGTACCCCCCCCCCAAAAAAAAAAAAGCACAACGAAAACAAACAAAAAGGAGATTGAAAAAAGGGGAGAAGAGAATTTTTGTGATTTAAAGGAGAAAGGAGAAAGACATTAATGCTCCAAATGTGGTTTTCAAATTGCAAAAGATCCCTTCTCTTGGAGGGGGTAGGACAAAGCAATTTTAGGTTATATTACCCCGGGAAGTGCCTGAAAATGCGCCTTATGTGGTTTTTAAATTGCAAATGCTTCCTACTCTAGGAGGATGTCCCAAACCCATCCCCGTTTTGTCGCTCCGCTCCCTCGCCGCTGACGCCTCGCTTGCAAAAGAAAGACCTCCTCAGTACCTTTAGGGACAATACATCAACATCACGCGGTCATTGTTGCAATGTCAGGAATGCTATTATTACCTCTTTGGTAATCTTCGCAATAGACAAAATTATTAGCTCGATCAGTGAAGGGAGGGTCGTTTTTTCTCAATTCATTATTGATGCCATGTCAGAAAGAGCTGAAGAATTTGTTACGTAACTATTCAAACATTGCAGGTGAAAGCTATTGAACACAGAATCGAATAGCCGAGCTTCCCTATTCATAGGTGCCCTGTTATAGAATTCGTAGCATATACTGAATTGAAACGATTCGTGATATATTCATTATGCCATGTCAGGGCAGTGGCCTATTGTCATATCACTTGAAGTTAAGTCAGCAGTGAGCAAAATAAATGAAAATAACATAAAACCTCACTATTATATCAGTAATATCAGTAACTGAAAGAAAACATTTACGGCCAATCTTGACAACATCGGACTACCGACACAGCTGACCCGACACATCAACATTTACCCGTGTCTTTCTTGCTCCCTCGACGAGACGACTCCACCCAACAACGCCCCTCTCTCTTTTACTCCCACTCCTCCTCTATCAGGCTCTTACCTCCCCTCTCTCTCCTCTCTTTCATCCCCCGTTTCTTTTGTTTTTCTTTTTTCTTCTTTTTTTCCTTTTCTGTCTTTTCTTTCTTTTCCTTTCTTTCCTCTCCTCACTCTTTTTCTTTTTGCTCTTTCTTTCTTTTCTTTTCTTTCCTTTTCTTTTCCTTTCTTTCCTTTCTTTTCTTTTCCTTCCTTTCTTTTCTTTTCCTTTTCTTTTTTCTTTTCTTTCCCTTTCCCTCCCCTTTTCTATTTTTTCCCGACGGCAGCGCAATTTTACCGACAATATCCTGACAGGTGGGGGGGGGGGGGGTGTCGCACCCCACCCCCTTTAGAGACGCCCCTGTATACAATAGAAAAATCGAAAGTAGCTTCTATTAAAGATGATACATGTAATATAATATTTGAACATTATTATAATGGTGAGGAAGGCCCAATTAGTACAACAATATAGTACGTATAATATCAGCTATAACAGCTAGAGGAGAGCCTTCTACAGTAACGTAATTTATTTTGGTAATCCACAAGCATTTGTTGATTTTTTAAATATTTATTTGTTCAATAATTTTTTTATTGTTCTTCGTTTTCTTGTATTTCCTGCTATCGTTATACTCTTTTATGTTCTTGGAGGTGAAAAAAAATATAATAAGTGTTATAAATATAATAAGTGCCACCACGACCTCCAGTTTAAATTCCAATAGGAATCTTTTGGAGGAACAACAACCAAGTACCAAGTATTGAACCTCACAAATAGAGCTAGGAAGACCGGAAGCTATTATATGAATGTGATAAAAGAGAGAAGAGGAACAAGCTATGGAAATGTATCCAGGAGAAGAATGCAACAATTAGCGATCGAGAGAGATAGAATTTGAGAGCTTCAGAAAGAAAATTAAAAACTACAAACGAGAGAGGGAATTGCATGGATAGATTCTAGGACTCAAAATAATTTTCGGGAGAAAGTGATCGATTCGATCGAGTCAAAAAAACATAAGTAAAGTAGATCTAGAGGTTTAGATTATATTTTAATATAAATAATTTGAATTCAAGAGACAGACTTCCCCACTTCAGTATGACTTTCCCCTGACAAGATTAGCCAGTAGCCAGCTATCCTCCCCCCCCCCACAAAAAAAGGGGGGGGGGGGGGAGGGGGTAGTTAAGGCCAGGGGGTGATGGATGAAGGAAGATATTTCATTGGACGACTGTTCTTATTCCTAATTTAAACAGCCAATGAAAGGCCTGGATATATCGCTGGCTATTTTTTCGAAGCACCCGCCGACCGAAAAATGTAAACAAATGGAGAACATCAATGTTATGTTGTTATTTTGAACTAGAAGATAAACGTAAGTTTCTTCGAGAGAAGGACCGATTTCGTACTTCTTAGTGGATTTTTTTGGTTGTAAGTATGCATATTAAATCCTTACTTAGCACCGTTTGGCCGATACAAATCAGACCGAGAGCTGTGCTGGCCCCACACGTTCATTTACATGTCTGCATTTGCAAATTAAATCATGACCCGAGTTACGGGTCAAATTTTGGATAGGTTTCTGAACAAGCGCCGATCTATCGACATAGCTGCATTACTATCCTGGTTGTGTATTAAAAGCTGTACTATTGATTCTCAACATTTCAAACACTACTGCTACTGTACAAAACTCAACTGATTTCATTCAAAATTGGTAGTCTAGGCCTAGAAAATACTGAAGGGGTGACCAAAGTTCGCGGACATTTTAGAACATATTACAAAATGTGATGTTCGATCTATGATTTCTCATATTCTACACAAATTTATTCATTTCAATTATTACCAAATGGATGGCAAAGTTTTTTACTACAGCTTGATTCAACTAGAAAATTTATCGTCGAAGGATTTCGAAGATATCGCGATCTAAAAATTTGATGTCCAATCGTGCATGCGCGCTGCATCTAAAAAAGTCATAAAAGTAACGAGACCTAACTTCACGCACGGGGGTTTACAGTTGATTTATCAAAAAATGTGATCCATCAAAATTAAGGTAATAACATGATTTGCAAGGCAAGATAACATACAATAAGTTGGTGCCACTTTTTACTTATAATTTTGAGGATTTCTGCTCTCAAAATGAAGATTTCCAGACCCTTATCGGTAAGTTGATAATTTTTCGGAACGGACGCAAATAACTGCAAAATTTGCCGATCTTTTGTCAATATTTTCACAATTTCACACCCAATTCCAAAGAAAATTTCGTTTCTGGGTAATTTTGTGATCCTCTTTCCATTAGTGATATCACTTTTTATCAGATTTTCGAAATCTTACCGATTTTTTTGAGAAAGCGAACTTTGGTCACGCGCGAACTTTGGTCACACCACCATACTGTATGTAGGCCTAGATCTAGTGACAATTGATGACACCTCCAGTTACAATTCCCTATGGGAATGTTCCAGAGGAATCCAATCCAAGACCTAAATAGCAGTAAAATACAATTTTTTAAACTTACCGATGTTAGAAAGAATAATTTAAAAATTCAAATTGTAAGTCTATCATACTTGCCGATCAGCCACATATGCTTGATTGTGTGCATTTGTGTATAATGAGTGTATTGACTATTCAGGTGTGCAAATGCTGCCTATTAACACGTAGTGCAGTGCTAGAGGTCAGTACGCATTAGCATTGACTCTCTCTATGCTTTGCTGGAGTGATGTCGATGGGGAGTTACATGTCAGGTCGCCCAATGTCAGCCCGCCCCTTTACAAAGTCGCCCTCGATTGGTCATGTTGCCCCCCAATTTTTTTTGTGGGGATTTTGGGATTCTTGGTCAGCTCGCCCCCAATTTTTTGGTCATTTCGCCCCCTAATTTTTTGTTTTAATTTGATGTCTTTGACTCTTTTATAAGTTCCTAGCACTATGGTCCGCGTTACCCTAACCCTAAACCTAGGACACCAGGTCCCGCGTTACCCTAGCTAGGACACCGGGCCCTGCATTACCCTAGGACACCAAGGTCTGTGTTACCCTAACTCTAACCCTAACCCTAACCCTAAATAAAAATTGTTCCCATGTTTTATATATTATATTATTATTTGGTATATCGGTAAAACCGGTATATCACTCTGAGTCATAGACCTATCTATATGTTACATATGGAACTCTTAAATTCAATTCAATTCAATTCAATTTTATTGGTCCAGAAGGAAATTTGTTGCATTTAAATGCATTATATTCACAGAGAGGGGCGACTGTGTATAGGAGGCGACCTGACCACACAATTTGGGGGCAACTACGTAAGGAGGCGACTGCGTATAGGAGGCGACTGTGTATAGGAGGCGACCAGCTGGGGGGCGACCTGACAAGACACCCGATGGGGTACCATAACTTTCATAAGTCATATTATAAGCAAGTACTTTGTGTTCTAAACTTCTAATAATAAGTCTGCATGCTTTGTAGGACTGCTTTTTTTGCCCACCCAATCCTACAAAGCAATAGGTCTAACACTATTGACCGCATACAGGTACACACATTAAGGCTACAAATGTTGGGTGACATCTAGGGGAGTCTAGAGCAGGAAAGATCTTTTGTACGCTGAGGTGTGTACTTATGACTATACTGATGAAGACAGCTCTCAAAATTCTTAAGTACTTTGAACTTGATTGTCGAACAAAGATATTCTCAATTTTCCATGATAATCCAAGGAAAAAAAATCAACAAACTTACCTCTCTTGGAAAGATAGTGTAACTTTCACAATGGAACAGTTAAACAAAAATGATGTATTTATATGAAGAGTTATGCTATTATTGACAATATTTCTTTTAGAAAGTGTATTTATATATTTCATTTTAATTGGCTGGAAGTGGTCCAACTAACCCTGTGCTCCCCTATTTATGCTTGATTCCTATCAGTGAAAGAATATGCTTATAATGCTTCTGCCATATATATATTCCCATAAATGCAGATGTAACTGTTGAATGACATTCCATAGTCAGCAATGGACGAGATTATCGCCAAGTTGGAGGTCTGCGTGGCCACCTTGGACAAGATGGCCGTCAGACATGATAATACCTCATCAGCTGCAGACATGGACTCCAGAGGGCGTCCTCCATATACGTCCATGGTCAGGGTCAACGACAAGCCTATCCTCCCACCTCTGGTAAGCACGTATATGACGAAGGTCAATCTTGAATTTCTTTGGTTGACCTCAAGAAGGCTGTAAGAGCTACTCTGTGCATTGTCAATGGCAGTTACAGCCTTTATGCGGGCAGCCGATGAATTGGCATATAAAATACAAATTGACGAAATGATGATTAAAAACAAAAACAATAAAAAAAAATTTAGGTTGGGAAATATCATTTGGTCACACACTCACACTGGCAGGTGATCACCAGGATATAAATGCTATCTGTTGACAAAAGTATCACTTTTGGATTATACCTAGGCCCTGTCTTATACAGAGTTGCAATTGATTGGAATCAGTATAACCTCTCTTATGTACGTATTTGCGATTGAATTGAAGTTGCGATTGATTTGAATCAATCGCAACTCTTTATAATACAGGGCCCTGGAGAATTTTTTCTAATTTGAATATATATTATTAAAGTACTTGTTTATTTTCATTGGATTCTTGCCATGACTGTTCATATATACTAAGGGACTGCTTTCATCAAGTGTTGATTTTATTTTGCACTCATCTTATGATATATATCTTTTGTGTCTTGTATCTTCTTGTTTTTTAAGATGACTCCGGACAAGAGAGCTGAGATGATAAGATACAAGGCAGTGGCAATTCAGAGAGAAAGGGAACGAGAGGAATGGAGGCTTCAGCAACTAGTTTCTAGGGTTGAAACCATCGTAAATAGTTATGAGGTTAGTATGGTGTACTTTTATATGTAGATTTATGTGACATTTGTACAAATGGATTCAATGGTACCTCAGCGACAGCCGAGATGCTGTGGCAAAGAGCTAAGCAATAAAAATCTTTCTCGTTCCAGGTACCTATTCACTTCATCTTGGCTGATGAATGGAAAATTTAGAATGTTAGAAATGTCAAAAGAATTTGAATCTGAGTCAGTTGATCCATAGTCTGTAGACAGATCCAATAGACCACAAAACCTCGTCATGCAAACATTTGAGTTTTCTCTTTTTTCAAAGAACAACCTTGTATCCTTTCCTGCTGGTAGTTGTGGTAATGTATAGTTGGTAAAGTTGAGGGCTTGATCAAAGTATGAGATAAGGAAAAAGTGATAGTAGTTAGCAATAAGTTAAGTTTTAGTATGATTTTACGAGATGAAGATCTGAAGGTACCTAAGCATCTGAGAAAAGAATATTCCTTTACTTTTTGAATGTTTATTTACACTTATTTCATTCTACAGATTATTAAAAGTGTATTACTCACTGTCATTTTATGACAAGATGTAAGTTTTCAGTAACCACTATTTTGCTCCAAATTATCTTTCAGGATGGTAGACAATCTTTAGGTAGCAAGGAAAGTAGTCCTCAGCAAGCAGCCAACACGCTACCTAACCAAGCTATGCAAGCTATACCTGCCGTACAGTCAGTTGGATCTAAGCCCGTCTCACAAGGCCTTAACAACCCTTCATATTCACCACTCAAGTATATGGAGATGGATGAAGAGGAATGGAACGTAAGACCAGCAACACCGTGGAGACGAACAAAGCAATCCAAGACGAAGACGGTCATTGCAGCGAACTTTGACCCCAGAGGACACCAGCCCATCTCATCCACCATGAGGATGGACCGCAGTCAGGATATGAGAGGAGCCACACCCGATGTTTCTGCCATCTCGGTGGCATCATCACAAGCTAGTAACTTCTTGCCCAGGAATTCCCCAGTGGATGCCATCGATCGGACCCTCTCCAGCAGTGTGCAACCTGTCCTTAAGGAGATTTTACCATCCTCTCCCCCTGGACTGGAAGACTTGAAAGTGGTGACAACTGGTGAAAGTGCTGCACCCAATCCAGTGGATGTGCCCTGCAACGTTAGCCCAGATGTACAATCAAATGAAAGGAATAACTTATCAGAACCTCAAGAGATTGAATCACATGAGAATTCTGCAGTTCAGCCACCTGACACTAATGCAGCAGTTGTTGATAGTGCCATGATAAGTAGACTTAGCCCTATACCCAAGATAGATGCGGTTCAATCCTTAGGCACTGGTGTAGCTGGTAGCACAGGAAGTCAGTCGACCAACAGCAGCAGCAATAGTGCATTGAACCAAACTGTGATTGACTTGTCACAAATGTCACTTATCCAGGGTCAATCAACTTTGGAGAAAGCAGAGGATTCCTCCAAACCTGACAAGAATGAATCAGATATTCAACCACAGTCTTCATTATCTACAGAAGCTAAAGCTAGGGTAGAACCAGTAACAGATGTTGCAGAAAGCAAGGACACCAACAACGATGTACCAAACATGCAAGAGGAAAACCATGTAGCAGGCTACTTGAGTGATACCGAGTCATACATGAGTTTGCTAGGGGAGTATTCATTGCTGCCAACACCAGGATCAAATAGGGGCACACCAGACTCTATTCAACATAGAAATGCTATAAAGGTTCCATTCTTTGCTGATCCTACCTCACCTGATGCCGTTGATGTCAACCGTGATGCAGAAGTGTCTGATATTCCGGCTACCGATGTATCTGTTGAGCCAGGTGAATCCTTGAAATCTGTGGATGGCTCAGAATACTGTGGTAGCTCCCTTGGAACCCTGGCCCAGTCTGTCACCCTTCCCATGAGCCTTAGCGTGACGTCAGAATCCACTCTTCATGGACTTGAAGAGACATGGGACAGAACAAGCCAGGAGGTGACTCCTACCGGGACAGATAAAGCTATGTCCATAGCAAGCGATGAGTTGACCAATGCTGGAATGGTCAGAGCAGCACCTGTTGGTCAGGAAAGTAATGCCACTGTTGAAGTCGGCAAACAAACTTCCAGCAAATCTGAAGAGTCGGAGAGACAGCAAAGTCTTAATGTAGACAAGCCTCTTCCAACATTGCCATCAAGTGTCGAACACAAGAAGATAGAGGTCAAAGTTGAGAGGTCAGGGGTCAAAGTGGACAGTGACTTTCAAACACCACTTAGACACCATGCCAGGAAGTCGTCATATACTTTGGATTTCCCTTCACCAGCACTTCTAGATGCTGAGGCTCGTCACCAGGCTCCACATATAAGTGGACGTGATATCAGCCATGCTGAAGCAGGCACCAAGGCCAAAGATGCTGATGAAGGGGCTTTAAATAAGGCTAAGTCGGGAGAGGGGACTGTGAGTGATGAAAAGCAGCCAGATGAACTATCATCTGAAATGAAAGATCTCAAGATAGGTGAGCAGAGAAAAAATTTAATTGATTTACTAACACTTAGAGCATAAACATAAATATTATCAACATTTCCATCAAAGGAATGTGGAAATTTTAACATTGCCATTATGAATTTTTTTAAATACTGTAACAGCATTTCATTTATTATCGCACATATACAATACAGGCGTTTAATCTTAAAATAAGGACATTGCATCACTGCAGTACCAATCGCCTTTTCGATGCATGTTCCTTTGTACTGCAGATATTGTTGAAATTTTTTTACAATGCAGAAAGAGCTTTTGAAATTTTAATTTTATCCATGTTGCAGGGCTTGATGTTAACTTTTCTGTTTTCATGAAGACCTGATTTTATCTCTAATGGAATAGTGGCTAAAATTTGGGATCCATTGTTAACTTCAGGGGATCAGTCGTCCAAGGACTCTTGTCCGTGTCAACCCTTGACTACAGTATCACTTTGGGTGAACAGCCTGACCACTCTCAGGGACGTGTTTCACAAAGATCCTAAGTTGAAGTTATCTCTAAGTTGGACTTAACAATTATGGAAAGCAGTTAGCATATATATGAAAATGTTTTGCACAAGTCTTTTTAAAAGGCATAACATGTTGATTCAAATAATTAATATTTTCTATTAAGAAAATTTCATATTCTTAATGTGGAATTTATAAAAAGTCTAAATACTTGAATTTTTGCTTTTGAATATATTTCATTTTAAGGCTACAAATGGCTCTCCATAATGTTTAAGTCCAACTTAGAGTTAAGTTTGACATCTTTGTGAAACACCCACTGTTCATGTATTATCTTCCACGTCCATGTCCACAGATGATGTGTCCGAGGCCAAGGTGTTGTCCCTCCAGCTGTCGTGCCTGGAGCAGATGCAGCAGCGTCTTCAGCGCCAGCACGACGAGCAGATGAAGGGGCTGATGCTTCAGCAATCCCAGGAGCTGTGTCTCCTGGAGAGTGAGATGGAGGGGATCAGGAGACAAGCTGCACAGTCTGCTCTGGGACATGTGGATGATGACAAAGATACTATGATCAAAGTAAGGAGAGGTTGGGTGGGGGTATGATAATGAAGTATTAAGAGAAGTGTTTTTCTTAAAGCCCCACTGCAGTAGTTATAGCTACTTGCGCCCTCTATATAACAAACAATGCCTGATTGTTGCCTGTTGGTCCCCCATGATCCCCTTTTTCTTATGTTAATTGAGAGCTGATTTGATGAGATAACCAGCTATCAGTGACCTTGCAGGGAGGTCTAATCCCCCCTGGCCAAACTAGTACAGACGGGCTTTAAAAGAAATAACATCCCTTGCAGAGTTGTGGGTTGAGTAAATGCTGCCATTTGTTTTAGCATAGGATATGTATTACTACATCCATTGATATCTGCAGAGAAGCTATATTTCCAGACAAACACCTTTTCATTATTTTCATTTTTCTTCTGATAATAAGTACATATTTTTCAATGAGAAAAGTTAAAAGAGAATGGTTTTATTTGGAAATTAATAGTTGAGGAACTTACCAGAGTAGTTGCATTGAAAGTCAATTCTCTGTCTTTAGCAGAATTATTTCAGTTATATTTAATTCAGTTTTTTTTTTGTGGTGTTTTATTATTTCTGTCTTTCATTTTCATTTCTTTGATTTTAAAGACCTCAACAGAAGTGCATGAGGAAAGCATGCAAAAGGGAGAAGTCCAGGAATCATCTAAGAAAAATACTCCCAGCACGATACCATCAACTAAACCATCTCATGAGAATGATGACAAGAGTGAGAAGGAAAGTGCAAAGGTTGCTCCAAATCAGAGGAAGGTTCCACCTCCAAGCCCCAACAGTAGAAAGAGACGCTTTGAAGAGTCATCGGTAGAAAGCATGGTCCAAGTTCCTGCCTCTTACATCAAGCAGTCCTCACTGGCAGGCAAGGGGCATGGCAAGGGGCATGCCTCCCCTGGTTTTCATTCTCCAGTCAGTGACAAGCTCCTGGCAAACGCCAAGAAGAAGCTCACTCCACAGGACAGTCTGGAATCAGATCATGGAGGATTGGTGGAGGTTCCGCCGTCTTACATCAAATCCGGTAGCTACCATAGACCTGTATCCAGGAGCCCCACCCACCAGAGATCATTGACCACACCCAAGGGCGCAACTACAGGCTCTGCCCACCTTGCTTCACCATCCATCTCCGTAGAGGAACCATCTAATGGTGACTCCTCCCATCTTACATCGTGGGGCACTCCTCTCAAAGACACCTCTGATAGAGACTCCACAAGGCTGCCAGCATGGGCGTCTCCTGCAGTGGATATGACCAATGGATCGGCTCACTTTACTGGAGCTTCAGTCTCCGATCCTGTTTATGTTAACAGTCTCAGTGACTCTTTCTTCCTGAATGATGACCAGACTGGAGAAACACCAGACAGACATGCTGACCAACAACAGCATACTTCCAGTTACTCCAAGCCATGGGTAAATTGCCATTGAGATATTCAGACATTGTGTTTTATTCACTAAAGACAGACAAAAATCAATATATATTGTTTGCTTTCAACTTTCAGGTAGTTCACTGTTTTCTAGTAAAGAAATGTTGGACAAATCTCTAATTTAATCACCTCTGAGTATAAATTAACCCAATGTTAATACTGTAATAGGATTGTTTGTCTGATAATCCTTCCAACTCCCTTCATACATGTAGTTTAAATATTGTATAAGTTATTAATTTCTTTAATAATTTTTGGTTGTACAGACAAATTGATGTAAACTGCTTTAAAACATTTGTATTAAAGAGAAGGTTGAGTTCTGGGAAGAGGTGAACAATAATTTGTGAGCGTTACCATTCTTTTTATGCAAGTGTGGAAGAACATCAGATAAGAAATGTTCCCTGAAAAGCATGGCTCTTCAAATGCCTTCATATTCCAAATATGTCATGTAACATCGTAAAAATCCAGGGACGGATTTTTACGCCACTTGTTTGTGTAGTCCCATATATATCTTTCCGTGTACAGTGTTTGTAACTTTACCAAGACTTGGCCAAATTTCTTATTGTTTTGATGATTCCAGAATCTTGCAACACAAATTCTTATATGCTAGATGATCAACCTTTCTGGTCGATTCCACACTGTTTCTTTCACAATGCAATCACATGACCAGAACTCAACTTCATCTTTAAGTGCTATAGAAATGTAATTCATTATTATCGTTTGTCCATACATATATATTCTGTTTTTGTTGTTGTGTGTGTAGGCCATCACCCAGAGCTTACAGATGGACATCAGGTTTGACATGGTATCTGCAAGGGTCAAAGGTTATCTGACCCGAGCTCTCATGAGAACACCAAAGATCAAAGCCCTCGTCAAGACAATCAAGGCATGTACATTTATATAGAAATAGGAAAGTGACGTGAGCTGTACATGTATTCGGAATGAATGCAAATTGTAATAAGGGACCTATGGCTTAAGTAAATTAAGTTACACATATCTATTTATATCTATATATATGGTGTTGGTGGTTATTTTACCTGACTGCTAAGAAAGCATAAATGCTTGTTAGTAAGCAACCAGATGGCCGACGGCTTTAGGTCCTCTCCGAGAGACCTGGTAATGAGGATTAATGCCTTACCAAAGGGCACTAGTACATCGACTTGGTTTCGAACCCGGGTCACCGGCTTACGAGACCACTGCTCTACCGACTGAGCTGTACATGTATTCGGAATGAATGCAAATTGTAATAAGGGACTTATGGCTTAATAAGTAAGTTAAGTTACACACACATTTATATATATCTAAGGGATTAAGATATTCATACTGATCACCTTACCCAAGGGTGCTAGGACACAGCCTCACTTTTCAACCTTGGATCTCCTAGTTCTATGACTACTTCTCTAACCATCATGCTTCCTTTTAAAAATCTGTTATTACAACTTATTTTCAAAATTGTTTTGGAATTTTATTTGTGTGCTAATTAAGAGGAAGATCAACATTTTACAGAGGGGAGCAATGTTTCTATGTCCCAGATTAAATGATGCGGCTGATGACACGTGCGTCTTCATAATCGGCTGTTTCTGACTCTCCCTTTTGATGAAACTTGTACTACTCCACAGGATACCCAAGTATTTTTGTACCAGTTCCAAGCTGAGACGCCTGTGAAGCGAGGAAAGCTTTCTGAACAAGACATCAGGCTGGCTCAAAGGGTTCTTGCTCAGGTTTGTAAAATAAATCTTTAATTCTATCTTTTGAAAGAAAATAAAGCAGAAATGAAGATCCTAGCGAAAGTGTTACATGCCATGAGTCTTTTAACCAGGATTTGATGTAATAGATATGGACTCTGATTATTTCAAATCACAAAGAATATATTACATCATTTATCTCCCATTCCTTTGGCATTTATAATCTACCCAAAGAAAATTTGTGCAAAGGCATTCTGAAATCTTTGATTGTGAATCTTATTTTAAGTGTTGAGTCTTTGAATCTTTGTGCGATGAAAACTACCGTTAGTTATAAAGAACATTTTTGAAAAATACCCATTTAAACAACATATTTTTCCAGTCCCACATCTTTTGATTGTAACCGGAACATATATACGGTGTATCCTTTGGTTTTCTTGACACTCCACTGTTTTTCTTTGTTTCTACTCTACAGCTGAGGGCAGCTCAATATGAGCTGGGTGATATCTTCCATGTCTTTCCCATCTCGCAGAGAATGGCTATACTAAGACACAACAGAGAACAAGAAAGAGAGAACTTCTTCAACAAGAAGGTATTGTTTTACGATGTACACTTATCTTTTCCACAGATCTCTGAGAAGTGATTAACCTTTGTTTAAAAGTTACCCAAACATTGTGGAGCGTTGTGTGCAGCGCTTTGTAACCGCAAGGAAAATGCGCTACCGATACAGTGTATATCAATTATCTTTTGGATTGGATTGGAATCTGTACATGGTGGCAGAGATAAAAGCCTCAGGTTCTGTTACTTCTATGCCCCCCGTAAATTCTCATTATCTCTTCGAAAAATAGTTGTTTTTCCTAATTGGTTTAACCAATGATGAAGTGGTGATTTGTACAGTCTTTATAACTATTGTAATAACCTGTGATTAATTGCCTGTTTAAATTTTGATCAAATACAATATTAAGTTCTTTTTTTATCTTTCATTTAAGCTTTATACTGATCAAATGCAATATGCCAACAGTCAGTGGACTGCATAGTTATTTGAGAACAGCGCTCTCTAGTGTAGTCTCATTTTTTTTTGGTTTTATTTGTAGGTATCTCCATCATCGGCTGGCAAGAAAGCCCACCTCTTATCGGCAGCCACTAAGAAGGCCATGGACAGAAGGCAACAACTATCAAAGTAAGTCCTCTCCATATCAAGTTATTTATTGCTTTCAATCATCAGTGTTGTTATAATGTTTATCTTCTTTCTATGTAAGAGGGACAGAGATCAGCAGTTGCTTGCTGCAAGTATGATGTGTTATATGTGGTTGTCGAGGATCAGTCTTGTATAACAGAGCTCATAGTGCGGTATGGTATGTAATCCCGTAGGATTTTTTGCCAAAGTTTTTTTGTTGCTGCTGTTTTGGCTTCAAAAGGCTTCAAAAGGGTCCGAAATGGCCCAAAATGATGGGGTACAAATTTTCAGACCCTCCTTCATTTCCAGGGGGATCCATATTGGGCGCCAAAATGGCTTATATAAAGCGCAATAGGGAAATTTGGTGTCTTTGGGAAAATTTGAACCCCATCAATTTCTGATAGCTTGGACCCCAATGAATAAAAAAAAAAAAAAAAAAAAATTGGCACTAAAGTCCTACGGGAGCTGTTTCAGTGACCGTACCACACTATCAGTCCTGGTGTTGTATGCAAATGTTAGATGAATTGAAACACAAATACAACTACATCATCATCAACAACAATGATATATGCAGTGTTTATCCAGCATTTTTTTCCAAAGGCTTTTAAAGCATTTTACAACAATTATCAAAATAGATTAGTGAAAAACATACATAGTATAGGAGATGTGTATGTCATTGGGAAACCTATTGATTCATGATTTAAGCTCCCAAAATACTGTTTTACTCTCTGTATCTACCGTACTTCAAGCAGATATCAGCAATCATGGCCGTCCAATCGTCCATTCTCTATTTAAATGTCTGTTCTATGTGGTCCTTTGTCCTTAGAGCCTCTATACATATTTCTATACAAATGTCCTTGTATCTCATTTTCTGTCTTCTGTTCTTACAATATATTGGTTATAGTTCTGCCTCCAGCCCCTCACCCTTACCAATTGTTTTCTTTTTTTAAATAATTTATTTTTTAATGTTCACTTCATGTCCAGGGAGGGAGATGTAGTAGAAAGTGGACCCAAGAGACAAAAGTTAGTCCCAGCAAACCAGAGGCCTAAAAGTGCAGCTGAAACAAGGTAATTCTTCCCTCCGTCATACAACCTCTTCCCAAGTCTTATTTTCATCTTTCTCTACCTTTATATCTTCTTGACTGTCTCATTCATGTTTTTAAAATCAATTTTCATGTCTTTTGTTATCGTTTTATCATTGCTTTCATCATGTCTATTGTACAGGTTTTACGTTGATGAGGACGTGACGCCATACGTTTTCATGAAACAGATGTAGTCTCATGTAGTTTTAGAATCTGAATCTGATGATCAATGATTCTCCTTATTAATGCACATTTCTTTCTACAATCTACACTCTACTTTGCCACTGTAGATTAGTTTTCATTCATGTATTCTTTTAAATAGGTATATTCTTTGTAATAATCCAAGCCTTTTTACAATCCTGCCCCCCAAATCATTTGATCACATTTAAAAGAATTTGGCTAACAGTCCTGTAATATTTGTATATTCTTGCAGAGTTCTTAGACCACTTCAAAGCCAGAAATCACCTCCTAGGCCGGCAACTGCTATTCCACCAAGGTATTAAAACAAAGAATGAATAATTGCTTCAAGATAAATGAAAGTTGATAGGAATTCTTTTTTCCGTTTGGTTTTGTATGTTCAGAAAATAAGACAGTCTGGCCATTTTAATAATCAATAACACTTGCATTTTACCCAGGTAGAAATTTAAACTAAGAGCGATCTATATCACGCATTTCAGAGAAATCATCATTTTCTTTCACTGTCAATGATAGGATTTTCGACCTCTATGTTGTTCTAGGCCACAGGGTCTTGCATTAATAAATCTGAAATATGTAGATGTATTTGAAAGAGAGGGAAATTGTTTTTTGGCAGAGCAATTAGATCGGACAAACCATGTTAATTCATATAAAGAATATTGAATATCAAGTAATAGATGAGTTGAATGATGTAAATGTATGGTGATTTTATTTCCTTGATGTGTTTGATTGTGATGGAAATTTATGTTGTGAAAATTGATCTTTCCTTGACATTTTAAATAAATATAAATATTTTTCATAAAAAAGAATGTAAATGACTGCATGAAATGTTTTTTGATTTGTTCACATTTTTCTTCATATTTTCACCAGGATGTCTTCATTTTCTGTCACCACCCAAAGCCTGAAACTGAAAGCACCTGTTTTGAGCAAACCGTTCCCGACTAAACCTGTCATGGTCTCCAGAAATACCACTAAGACATCAAGATCTCCATCAAGACCATCGTCGAGAACAGCTTCGACTAGACCAACATCCACTAGACCAACATCCACAAGACCAACATCCACTAGACCAACATCCACTAGACCCACATCTAGACTATCGGGAGGGTTATCAAGCCTTAGCCAGGCCAGGACCAGTTCAGCAAGGCAGGCTAAGTCTCCAGCGAGAGCAGCTACCGCTACAGTTTCCCAGACCAAGACTAAGAATGTCAGGAGGTCGCTTTATCCTGTATCAGTTGGGACTGGTAAAAAGACTATGCAGCGCAAACAGGCCGACACTAGAAAGCCGTAGATGAACTTTGTATGAATCACACTATACAATTAAAACACAAGGACAAGATTTGTGTCATAGGTGATGATAGTAATATGGACTAATGAAGATCAGTTATTCCTCATTAATGAATAAGTGAAAAATGATTAGAACAAATAACAAAGTCAAAGACTGCAATTATAAATTTACAAATGGATCAAAACAAGTTTTTCAAATGTTGAGTTTTAGGTGACCAACACCAGTTATTAATGTACACTAGGGCGTATAGCCCTATAGGTCAGGAGGTAAATATGTCCTAGAAGTATGGTGGTAAAATATTCAGTATTAAAAGATTACAATCATTTTTCTTTTCAAATTTGAATTTTGCAAGTGGTAGTGTTTTCTTCACTCAATTTGATGTGTACAAATTGAGGGCTGCAATTTTCACTCATAGAGAGAATACCACAGAGTCTTTTGATCTCAAGTTTTTCACATACTTTCATACTCATCTTGCTGCTACAGATAAATTTTGAAATAAGTTTTGAGGGCTTGCAAATCGGTGATAGGGGCTTCAAATACATTCCATTTTTCCTCCTATATTTCTCCCTATTTATGGATATTTACAATGCAAATCCAAAACCAAATCCCTACCTGTTTTAGCTTGTGACGTTAAGGATCCACTTTATTTTTTCTAAAGTGGATTGATAAAACACAACTTATCAATTATCTGAGTATACATTCCACAGAAATGAAATTGTATTTTCTTGACCGGGTGCAGTGGACCAAAATTATGTGCTCAAGACTGCAAAAATATGATTCTTACCAAAGGATTTTCATAAAACATGTATAATCATATCTAAGAAATGTTGATTTTTATAAGCCAGTTTTGATTTTGTAGATGGTACAAATGAAATGACCCATTTTGTGCATGTATGCACATTTGTTTTGATAGACATGCTACCTGTTTATCAACTAAAACAGAAATGAAATAATATTTCTTGACCGGGTGCAGTGGACCAAAATTATTATTCTGGATTTTGAAGCAGCTTGTTATGCAGTTGGCGATTATGCCTACATGTTTGTACTCTGAACAATTTTGTAAATATTTTTGACATTTTCAGCATTTTGCTGTGTGATGATTTTGTACACATTGGATTTGTATTTTTTTTTCAATCAGTACTTGCTATGATTATTTCCGAGAGAAGCTTATTTCACAATCTATGTACAGCTCTACATACTCAGAGTGAGTGATGTGCCTTTAATATCTGTGCAATGAACCTTATGTGAAATGAAATGTTGTAAATGTCTGACTGATTATTTCAATTCTACTCTGTATCACTCAGACTTTGAGATGATTGATTGAGAGTGTATTGATAAGGGGCTGAGAGAGAGAGAGGGAGAAAGAAAGAGAGAGAAGGAGAAGGAAAAAGAAAGAGAGAGAGAGAGAGAGAAGAGAGAGAGAAGAGAGAGAGAGAGAGAGAGAGAGAGAGAGAGAGAGAGAGAGAGAGAGAGAGAGAGAGAGAGAGAGAGGGGGGGGGGGGTGTAGGGAGGAGGGGCAAAATAGAGCGATTTGTATGTATTTGTTGCTGAAAAATGGCAAACACGTAGTGACTGGTCACTATGAATGGTCAAAACTATTGTATCAAGTTGATCTTGAAACTACTATGCTTTTAGAAACAGAAACATAAGTGGTGTACGTTTGAACCTAATTGATTGAACTCAATTTTTGACCCAATGCGAGGATTGATTTGATGAGCTTTATATTGCCCTCCACAAGTCTTTATACAAGTCTTTAGACTTACTGGGTGTCATCATAGGTAATTCAGGTAATCAAACAAAAAATTATAGTCTACTCTTGACGGTCTTAATCGAGGTCACAGCTAGAGGACTATACATAGTTTTAGATCAGCAGCTAGCCTACATGATCTTAATTTCTATCTTATATAGATTTATATATAGGCGTGAAGAAAATGGTCTAGGAACGTGAGACGTAGTTGTACTTTACAATTTTATTCCGAGCTTTCGGCTTGTGAGGCCTTCTTCAGGTTCTGAAGTGCAAACACATACAAAAACAAATACATTGTATGAACAAATATATATACATGTCATACAAACTTAATATCACTCAATCATAGTCAAGCATCATGAACATAGCAGAAATTATATATATTTATATATATATATATATATATATATATATATATATATATATAGAATAAAGAGATAGAAATTAAGATAATTGATATGCACTGCACTTGGTTATAAGTCACAATGAGACGGACAATTGACTTCAACAACTCTCGTTCATTATCCTAATGCACTCACGAACATTTATTTATTTATTTATTTGTTTTATTTAGACACAGGCTAACTCTCAGAATTAGTACTGTACACACAAAACAAAATTACAAATACAGGAAATAACAAACAAAGTTAAACTAAAGGATGTAGAAACATGAGTATATATATCAGGGTTATTTGTTCGTTTTGTTTATAATATCATATAGCCCCATAATATACAACGAAACATATGACAAAGTGACTATTTGTCCAGCTGATACAATTATGATAGTAATGCTTAATTATAGATCAATAATAATAAACATCAGGAATAAACTTTTGATTTGTGTATGTTATAGAAATTAGAAAATAACACAGATTATATCCTGCATCAAAAATTTGTTGGCTTTTGATTGGTTGAGAGCTTGTCACATGACCAGAAATATTTGACCTATTTTTAGAAAGTACTATATGAGAGTACTATTTTGGTTTACTATTTGGGAGTTGAAAAAAAAATGTGATTTTTTTTTTTTTTGAATTGAATCAATTTTTTTTTCTTCAAATCTTAATTTAATGAAAACAAAATATTTTAAATCTTTTTAGATAAAAATTGACATTTTTTTTGTAATAATTTTTTATCCCAATTTTTTTTTTTTTTTTTTAAATAAATTTTTGATGCAGGATGTAAAACAATACCATGCATTCTATTCGAGGTACTGGTTAAACTATGGGCCTTGGTGACTCCAAAAGTACCATTTGCTTCGGGGCTGCGCCCCTCAGCAAATAGTAGGCCTCCTATTGGAGTCAAATCTTGCGCATAGTTTTAACCAGAACCTCTCAAGGCAGTGTATATTTGTATACTATGATTTTACAAAAAGAAAAAGACTAACTTCTATGAAAGTGGAAAAAAATCATTTAAATTGCGTTTGTGATTATTTATATATATTTTGGTATTAATTAGTGTCATAATGAACATAAGACACATTATTTATCACTCTATAAATTGACACCAAAACTTTATGATTTTAATTCCAACCAGCTCTAACATTAAATGACTAACAAACAATGAGTAACGAGCACATTAATCCTCCATAACCTTGCGCTTCGCCAATAGACCTTATTCGTATGACGTCACGCACTCGTAGATACAAAAGATCAAGGTAAATCTTTATCTCGGTCACGCAGAGAGGTCAGTGGATAATGTGCATGCACGCACAGCTAGCTGGCATATTATGGACTGCACTGCCGACCATCACATTTGCAAAAGCCATTATTCGGCCATAATTTCGATCAAGTGAAGAGCTAGAAGTCGTTGTGCATGCGCCTACTTGGTAATGCAGTTTTTCAAGATGGCTAAGGAGCAGAGAATTTCGAGTTTGATCTCAGTTCTTCAGATAGCAGATTCTGGCAAGTTGTTATGATAGATAAAATATATGTCACGATTGGAGGGTCATATTTAGATCCTAAGCCCTAGTTGGCAGTGGTAACTCCAGGGAGCGACGCGTCGGAGCTCTCTGGAGTTATGGTAGTGGTAGCTGGAGTATGTCCGAGAAACGCGAGAACAGACAGCTTTGATATGTTTAAGGCTGTAATTTATCATATATTCCTGATGAGCCTGTACATAATAATCAAGATTCTAGTCCCAATCTTGTTCACCAGGACAGGGGTAGAATCATGATCTGATGTTATCATGTTTGATGATCAGGAAATGTAATTTTTGTTGCATATGAAGTATACGTAGCATTTAACGAGGAAGAAGAAGAAGAATTATAATAATTAAAATGAATGATGAATATACATGTTATAATTAATAAAAATGATAATAATAATAATGTCATGATGATGATGATGATGTTAATGATGTGAATGTGATGATGATATTAATGATAATAATAATTATGATGTCATGATGATGATAATAATGATAAAAATGATGATATTTAATGATAATGAAAATATAATGATAATAATAATAATGATAATAACAATTAGAAATAATAATGATAATAATATATTAATAAAGAAGCAGAAATTAACAGGCCGGCACATTTTGTATTTTTGTATTTTGTATGTAACAAATTATCCAACCTGTGAGATGAGACTACAGTGCAGTTTACTGCCCTCTATAAGGCCCTGGGCCGGTGTCCAATTCAATACTTAGAATAAGTAAGAAATTTACCAAGTAAACTACTCGGCTAAGAACTTTACTTATCTTGTATTCAAATGGCCTTTTAGACTTTTACATATGTAGATAAAAATCTAAGTAAAATACTTACTAATTAATAAGCATTGACACATCACACGGTCAATCACAAGTAATGCGCAATTAATGCATCGCAATAAGTGCTGCCAATCAAGGCCTCAACTAAATAATTGGCTTAAGTCTGGTAGCTATAGGGAGCTGTCTTAAATTTAGAGTAAAATACTTAGCCAAAAGTTAGAACTGAATACACAAATTGGCTAAGTATTTCATCTGAGCCGAAGGCTAAGTAAAATACTCATATTTCAAACTTAAGTATTGAATTGAATACCAGCCCATTAATGCTCCTGATACAGCCAGCTATGACTGACATAGTTTTAAGCTCAGCTAATGAAGTTGGGTGGTAATTGGTTTGTTACTTTGACCTCACTGCTCAGAAAGCATGTGATGCTTGTACATGTAAGTATTAAAGTAACCAGAGGACTTACAGCTATACATCCTCTCTGAAGGACTTAATGATTAATACCTTACTAAACGACACTAGCACATTTGAACTTGGTTTCTATAATTTGAACCCAGGCCCTCCCAGTTATTGAGACCACTGCTCTACCACTGAGCCATCGTGCCTCCTAAAGTTTCACATAGAGTTTACTTGCTGACTACCTTGGGGTACTAGAACAATTTGTCTGACTTATAAATGGGCTTTCATCTTTAGCATTAAAAATAGATGACAGAAAGTGATTGACCAAGAACTGTTTTTTTTCTCTTTCTTGCAGGCTTTCCAACGGGTGCATTTTCACACAGTGCAGGCTTTGAAGCAGCCATGAAAAAAGGTCATATTTACGACCAGGAATCCTTCAAGAACCTCATCATTGCAGTTATGGAAAATGCAGGTAACTTGACAACAATAGGATTAGTTATGTACTTGTACTAACTACAAAGATAAAAATAATCTGCAATGACAAAAGACATGAATTGTGTTCATTTTTTGTACAGTAATTTCTCAAACAATGACACATACTTGTAAATTTGATGGAGGAAGATGTTTGCACACATATATTACTCAGTTCTGTAAAATATAGATAGAGGGTGAAAGAAAACTTTCAAACCCTGTGTGCTTCAAACCATGATTATGAAAGTCAATTTTTGCTCAAATTCCCACTAATGTATATCAGATGGCATATCTTTATTTGTTCAAGAGCATTTTTTTTGCACTACTTGGATTTCAGTTTTCAGTGCCAGATTTTATCCACTTTCTCTTTGATGTCTCTGTCGAACCATAGACACAAGTCTATAATGTTACAATATGTTGATTCAAGATTATAGATCTTACAGATAAACAAAAATCAACAATATTTTGAGACCATTATCCTGAACCATTGGCTACAAATATGATTAGAACAATATGCCCTGTGCACAGTTTCTTTCTAATCCTTTAAAATATTATCTTTATTTATAATGTGATGCTCATCTTAATATCAGGATCATTCAATCTGCCGTTCGTGAAAGCTGGATATGAGAAGAGTGAAAATATGACAGCGATCATCTCGTTGGATCGTTACTGTGATGCGTGTATGACCAACCATGTAGCTAGCAGGGCGAGCTCACAACAGGTATGTATATCATAGGGTAGAAAACATAAGAATTAATCAATGTTACAGTATTAAAACTATACATATATTATGTAAACTGTACATTTATGAATAGTTCAAGCGCTTTTAAAATTTTGTTCTTTATTTATAGTTTTATTTAGGGCCTATAATGGCATTAATAAGAGTGTGTAAAACTACTGTAGAGCAATTGTCACTCTGAAAATCCTTGAAAACGTATCCATGATTAAAATTGAAAATGGTAGTATGTATAGATTGACTTATTTTCTGTGATCTAATAATAATAATGATAATATTAATTATTTAGGAGTGCTATTAAAAAGCAAAAAATACCATAGTGATTAGAAAATCACAGAGTTCAAGTAGAACCATAAAATATGTACTCCTGAAAAAGGTACATGCACATCACATTCTAAAAGTTAGGGACGAAACTCATGTTTTAAGGGATCTTTTGAAAGTGGCAAGGCAGATTTTTTCTCTGATGGAAAGATTAAAATAAACAAGAGTTGAACCCATGACCATTATTGATGTTGGCATTATTGTGAGACCTTACAAGTACACAGATTAGAAGGCTAATGATGGTGTATTCTCTTCTCTCTCTGTATTCTTAGGGAAGATCCCTGATTTTGACATCTAGTGAAACATTTCCTGATCAGAGGATCAAAAGCCTTATGGTAAGTCAGTGATGATTTATACAACAATACAATTTGTTTAAATGTAGACAGAATACTGCTTGCTCTGTTGTGTATGAATTCATCATTTGAAGAAGAAGAAAACAAAATTGAACCCCCCAGTAATTAATGACTGATTGATTTCTGTCTGTGTTCTAAAAGGCATGCAGAATTTATTATGTATATAATTTGTTGTGGCGTTGTTGTAAACACAAAGTTTGGAAACTTCAAAGGTAAGTTTTGTAGAAAAATAAATCCATTGACTACTGAATTCATTCATTTCCATAGGCTTAATACAGTGGCCACCTGGTTCCAGTAGACAAAGGGTTAAATTGGTGTTGCCTCAGTATTGAAAAATTCAACAAATCAAATCATGCAGTGTCTATTATGACACCAAGATTAGGGAACTATAGGAAAAACCTCTCCTCCCATTTTTGTGTAACTTAAATTGCTTTCAAGTAACAATTCATCAGAAATCGACAAGAAATATAAGTCGGGACTTGGCTGTATTGGATTCAAGGACTTCTTGCAAGCTTAAAGCGTTTTTTTATGGCACCAGTACTGGAAGCTTCGGGTTTTTACCCTCTTCCACCCCCTCCCCATCCGTATGAAGAATACCAGGGCGTGATAGCATGTAAGGTCCTATCCGAGGCTTTCCTAATGGAATTCTCAACTTGTGGTATTACATTTGCAATTGATATTTCACTTTATTTTGTACATTTGACAGCATATTAGCTGGATATGCAATACATTCATACAAATTTTATTTCTTGACTCAATCTGTTTACTTTCTCAGAATTCCATCAGTAAACCAGGAATGAAGGGTCATCAGGCTGTTATGTTTGGCTGTCTGTGTGCCTATTTAGATATCCCTCTCAGAGACTGTTTAGAAGTGTTCATCTTCAATCTACTCAAGATCCTTTGCGTCAGCGTGGTTAAACTAGGACACATTGGACCTATGCAGGTGAGAAGTCCACAGTTATAATGTATTTTTCAATGTTTGTGTACTACAAGACAAGTTAATTAAAGTTGGTACCTTTATGCCTCAGTCACACCTTTGCGTATTTGGATTGCACATTGCTGCGTATTTATGGCAAGCCGTTTTAACATTTATTCCTATTTCTTGAGATCAAGAAATGATTTTCTGTTGTAAAGCAATGGTAATTCTTGATACGCAAGCCAAGTATGCAAAGGTGTGACTGAGGCATTAGACGACTTAATAGATTTATACACTTGAAACTTCATTGCGAACAGTAAATGTGAATGGTAGTGATTAGAATTTTGCACATATCGTCCTTGTTTTCACGAAGTGACGGTAGTGAGGAAAATCGTAACGCAAAGTGAATGCAATTTTTTTTCACTACCGTCACTTCGTGAAAACAGCGACGATATACTAAATTTCTAAAACTTTAGTAATTCCCAAGTGAGTTACATGCTCTTTGAAAGCCTATTCTTTTTAAAATAGCAACTGTACACAGAGAGAAAGATGCGTAACAGAGTGAGAGGGAGGGAGGGAGGGAGGGAGGGAGGGAGGGAGGGAGGGAGGGAGGGAGGGAGGGAGGGAGGGAGGGAGGGAGGGAGGGAGGGAGGGAGGGAGGGAGGGAGGGAGGGAGGGAGGGAGGGAGGGAGGGAGGGAGGGAGGGAGGGAGAGAGAGAGAGAGAGAGAGAAAGAGAGAGAGAGAGAGAGAAAGAATCAGAGCAAGTGTTTCAGAAAATGAGAGGGTGAACTAGTTGGTGAGGGAATGGGTATTGGGGAACCACAAGAGAGAGAAGGGGGGGGGGGGAATAAGGGTTCCAAATATTTGTTTGAAATTATCTCCATATATTTTGATTATGATTGATAATTGCGAAGATTGTTGATGCCAGTATCAGTCATATTATAATCATGTTGTATGTTTTAATTGATTCTTCCACAAGGCCCAAAGGACTCAGTATGAACATCAGAAGAACATTGCTAACATTGTAGACAGGTGAGACTTAAGCAAATTCATTTGACTTCAAATAAATTGATTGGTTATGCCAGTGAAAATGTGCATGAAGAAATCTATGAGCCATTCAGTAGAATGATTATTAAAATGTCAGAAATGATATGTCGGCATTAATGATCCATGCAGAAAGAAAAATAGTGACATCCTACTGTATAATACAGTGACATGTATAGCTCAAGGACATCAAAAGTGTACAGAGCTGAATTGAAAGTCAAGCCTCAAATGAATTTAAAATTGATTGGTAATGCCAGTGAAAATGTGCATGGAGAAATCTATGAGCCATTCAGTAGAATGATTATTAAAATGTCAAAAAAGATATGTTGGCATTAATGAGCCATGCAGAAAGAAAAATAGTGACATCCTACTCTATAATACAGTGACATGTATAGCTCAAGGACATCAAAATTGTACAGAGCTGAATTGAGAGTCATGAGGACTAAAGGAGCTGTGTCAGAACTTCAAAACATATTAATGTATGCCATGTCTTTTTAAGGAATTATGTCATTGATTTCTTTCATCAGCTATAAAATGATTAATTGTACAGTTGTCTTTAAATGTATGTTTATGTCTTCTGATCTCCTTTACAGAAACCTTAATCGGAGTGTTGAGGAGAGCTGCATATCCTTCCCATTAGTTGACATCTATCAGAACACCCACGATACCCTCTTCTCAAGACTCTTTTGCTCATGATGGCATTGGCAGAAATACCTTTCACCAGTAAACTGAAATAAATAACTGGTGTAATACAGTCAAACCTGCTTTAGTGACCACCTGTCTACAAAGGCCACATTTGTTGTTTCCCTTGAAAATGCATGGTTTCTCATTGAATCATGTATTAAAGGAACCTGTCTACAAAGGCCACTTTTTGTATTCCCTTCGGGGGTCGATATAGACAGGTTTGACTGTAGAAAGAATGCATAAAGTCTACCTCGACCTCAAACCTGAAATCTACCTGTTATGAAAATAACATAAAACTTCATGTCGGACTCGGATTCCGTGTTCGCCCTATATTTTTTAGCAAGCATGTTCTTGTGCATCAACTCGTCTACTCAACAAGTCGTTTTTATATTTACTTATAGTATTATCTTTGTAAAAGTGATATTTGGAGCTCATACTTGGAATATATTGTGACATAAAACAGCATTTACATAAAGAGCAAAACATGTCTTGGTGATTGATACAGAAGTTACTTTGGTAGCTATGGTGATACCCAAGATTTCAGGGTAAAATTTTCGCAGTGCTAATGTAATTCTTATTATAATATTCTTATTCTTATCTAAATATAATGTATTTGTCCCCTAATAAGTATGAGCTATATAAATGTTAACATTTTGTCTTTTAAAAAATACTAACAGATTTATATATTTTATGTTATAATCAAATACCATTTTTCGTAATGTATTCCGATTAAATGCACGTCTTTGTGGAGTGCCTGGAGATGAATGATCCCATTCGCCTGCCAAGGGTCATTGTGTCTAAGGTGGTCGGGGTGCGGATTGCGTGCATTAGTCGTTGCTGGGCTGGACAAACATTATAGCTTGTCCAACCTAGCAGCGGCCGATGTGTGCAGTCCGCGTTCTGACTATTGAAGTGCAGTGTCCCTCGGCGGGCGAGTGTTAAAGCTTGTTGGTATTTCCTTTTGACTGGATTTCAATGCATTGCAGGGTAACCTATTGGTATCTCATATTATTATGTTAATGTTCTTTGGAAATTTTTTTTATTGCAGTTCATGTTCATTTCAGTTTTTAACTGCCAGACACGAAGATTTTAATAAGATCAATTTATCTATCTATCTATCATATTGATAAGGATCTTTTTTTTAATTATTGTAAACTACAAGTAAACCTTGATTATTCTTCTTTATACATGTACATACAGTATACATTTCTGAGCTTCTGAGCTTCCAAAACCATTTGTTAATTTTATTAATTTTTGTTTTAAATCACAAGTTTATTGACTATTAGAAGTTGTGAGCTATTGTTTTACTTGCTGGACAAGCCAACAATCTTGAAGAATTTTATTCTTAGATATTTTATAGTTTGGTAAATAGAATAGAAACACTGGATACTGGGTGATTCCATGCAGTGTCCACATACATGTACATGTATTTATGTGTTTTATTTCTGGTTTTAACACTAGACTTGCCAATACATTGAATGTTGTTTTACCCAAGCCTACTCTTGAACGCTTTAAGATTGTTTTAGATACGCTGGTGGTAAAATCTGGAATAGTTTACCTTTTGCTCTTCAAAATGCTTAATCTATTGATGTCTTTAAACGTATGTTCAAGGACAATTTGTTTAATCCTGTGTGATACAATGCCTACCATACTACTCTCGACATAGCTTATTTCTCTCTCTCCCTCCCTACCAATTTCCTAATATATCTCTTCTCCTCTTCTAATCTTTTTGGTGATATTTTAATGCCTTTTAAGTGATTTGATGTTTTTCCGCTGTTAATTGGAATTATTAGATTGTCCCCTTTTTTGCTTGTTACTACTTTTAATGTGTAGTATTCTTATATTTGCCATATTATTATTATATATTAGTTTTATACTGTTTTTACCTTGTAAGTGTAAGCAATGTTTGCATAACGATTAACATTTTTTGTGTGGATATTTTGTAGGATAAACCATTTCACCTCCAAGAAATATGAATTTAATGCTGCAGAATCTTGAAAACAAACATTATATGCCAATCAGTAAATATTGACTTTATATTGTATTTATCTTTATTGTGGTAAGAATTTTGGAATAAATAATAAAAAACTAAAAAACTAAAAATAGAATAATTGTTGTGTATGCAGTAACAATTGGGAATAACATCCCGTTAAATACTTCAATACACACCTATCAATGGGAATATGGGATATCTGTGAACTTGTACTTACAATGGTTTTGTGAAATGCTGCCCTGTACACGGGTATATATACACACCAGACGAATGAGAACCAAGGAGCATACCAACATTTTCACTTTCAAAACTATTTATTGATTTCAGTGCTTGTGATAAGCATAATTAGCTCAGAATATCAAAGCTGCAAAATAAGCTAAACATGTTTGTTCCATATCATATTTTGACAACAGATTAAGTGCATACATATCTCAACACCTAAAGAATACATGTATGAATGTATAGTTGTTGCACTATTTTCAAATTAGAGGGGTACTATTGTTGATTACAATTTAAAAACTTCACTAGAAGGTCTGCAGAAAACTTCTCAAAGGGGAAAAGGAGAAATTAAAGAAGACATGTATGGAGGGTGTGATTTAGTGGAGAGTGGGGGAAAGAAAGACAGAAAGAGAGACAAGAGAAAGAGAGATAAGAGAAGAGAGATAAGAGAAGAGAGAGAGAGAGAGAAAGGACTGCAATATAAGTACAATATGCAGGTACAGGTACATGGCAGGAGATCCATAAGAAATAATTTGAAGATATTCAATTAAAATAATTAAAATAGGAACAACTATAATTCAGACATATGGGGGAAATAGAGAGAGAGGGATGTGAGAAAACACGAAGCTTGAAGTACAGATGAGCACAATAATGCTCCGTAATCACAACATGTATAATTCAGGGTAAGGCAGAGCACGAGGAAGGAAGTTTGTGAAAATGGTGCATAGGATGTATATACATGTATATTGGCATGGAGGAAATGAGAATTTAGTTACGTTGCGGCTAATAAATGTTGATTTCTCCTTATGTACATACCATTAAGAAACGGCATGAATGCACATGTATTTGATCATTTCAAGTGCATGTACAGTACCTACATGGCATTTTAATGAAGTGGTGCGTATTATTCATGGCAAAGATTTGTGAATGCAGGCTGATAATTGTTTCACAACAAAATGGCAGGTACTATATTTGTTTCACATCTTTTTAAAACTTTGCAAAATGCTTGCATAAAATGTATGAAAGTTTTTCATTTAACACTGTACAATTACTATGGGTGTTAACACGTATTGTACACTGATGTAAATACAGGACTATAACCTTTCATAATAATGTTGTAATAATGTAAATCGAGTGATAAAAAATCACCCAACCTGTCCGTCCTTCACCAATGAATATTTCTCAACCAAATCATATTTACACAAATTACAAACACTAACAAAGCAAAATCTTTTCATTGAAAGTGAAAACCTGGGTGGTGTTAATCATTCCAAATAAGATGTTTCATCAGCAAATCAAAAATGGCTGATATTGCCCAATTTGCAATCACAGAATAAGTTCCCATTACCACTTTAGGTACCATGCTTCAGCTTAAATGAAGTGCAATTGAAGAAAGGAAACTAAATCAAAATATCCATGGTAACTGGGGTGGAGTATAGAGAGCCAACAATGGTAGCTCATTGTAGCTACGGTAACCTGCCACCCAGATTTTCACCTTTGTAAAAGTGTCTTTCTTTCTAGCAAACACAACTGAGTATGTACACTAGCCTCACTTTTATGAATATAACACAGAGCACAGCTCCTGTGACTACGTCTAAGCAAAATATACACACATATATATTACAACATGGGTGCGGTGTACAACCCCCATTTTATGAAGAAATGCTGCAGTGTGAAATGACCCACAAAACAGCACTCTTCAGTCTGGTCATGTACTGTTATCATAACTAATTGCAATTATTTACAACAATAGTTGTCAGTAATTATTTCTATGCTATGTTTGGTCTACATGTCATTTGCCTCTTTGCAACTTTGGCACCTATAATTTAACAAGACTTTCTCTATCTAATGTTACTAATACTATATTATGTCAACAAGAAAAATAAATAAATAAACAATTTACATATAAAGTAAATTCCTTAGTGAAACGAACAAAACCATTACAACAAAAAAGACCTTAATAGAATGGCTAAAGAAAAATAGACGATTCGAAAGAGGTACATTTGTGTTATTTTTTGCAATGAAATACAATTTAAGATTCATTCATCTGTTACACTGTGCAATATTTATCTGACGTTTCTAAAAAAAAATTCTTTACATATTAATAATGCACATGAAACATACAATAATAAAGCCTACATTGTAAGCCTCTTTGTCTAAACTCTACTAAAGGAATGTTCTAACCAAAGATTCAGCTACTATAAACACACTGGTTTTCTCATTGCCCCATTCCTACAATGTTTCAGAAAGGATGCAGTACATAGAAGTACAGGCCCCTTGAATAAATCCACACACAAGGAGAGTTATATATTACACATTTGGCAAAATGAATGTACCCTTTAAACAAAGAATCAAACATGCTTGAGCAATGACCTGTATATAAAGACCGCCCTTTCTTTTGTTTCCTTTGAGCAATAATACTCTAATAGGGAGCAGGATGAAAGGAAACCTTTATGTACAGAACACTGTCTGAAAGAACCATTCAATGTTTCCTTGAGTAACTCTTATCAGACATACAGACTTGAACGTAATGAATTTCCTTAGGATTCTAATGGAGAAGGTCACATTTTTAGCACCAGACAAACTCGCAAATAATACTACTAAAACAAAACAGCCTAAAGGTATTTTGAGCACTGAGTAAATAATCAAATATTGAGCTACATACAACTGACCGAGTACACAAATTGGAAGAAGGTATCAAGAGCATTTCCAAGAAGATCCCTGAGTAGCGTGGATCATCTCGACCCGATGCTGTGCAATGCTGTGATGGAAATGCACTTGAGAATTCCAGCAAAAAATCGCAGCTATCATCACCTGATGAATATTTCAGTACAAACAAAATGGGTGTAAAACTGAGTATAAACACACAAAACCAAGCTGAGTTACTTATTCAATACTACACAACTTAAAGGTAAAGGTGAACATAGGGGGTTCTACAAGGTTTACAAAATACCAGTATTTCAACTCTGAAATTTGAAAGACTGTCCCTGAGTTGGTGTGAGATCTTCTCGATTTCGACACCATTGCAGTTAATCAGCTTATAATCTTTAGATAACAGATATGACATTGCAACTCCCTGTCAACAAACACAAGGTCACTCAACGTATGTATGGAATCTGAAACTGAGAAATAATGTGGTTATTATCTACTGAATACTACACAACTTTAAAAGTAAATGGTGATCATGGTTCTACAAGGTTTATAACATATTTCAACTAAACACTTGACAGATTGTCCCTGAGTTGGTGTGATATCTTCTCGATTTCGACACCATTGCAGTTGATCAGCTAATAATTTTAAGGTAACAGATAAATATACCATATGGCATTGCAACTCTGTCAATAAACACAAGGTCACTTTAACGTACTGGTATGGAATCTAAGACTGAGGAATAATGAGGGTATTAACATTTGTTTGTACCGGTAATGTCATAATACATTATTGGTACAAGGTTTTGACACATGGTGCGTGAATAATGAATACAAACCAAACATATTTCAACTTGTCAAGGTATCTAATCTGGTCTGTGTCCCTGGGAGTCAAAATATGTGGATAACAAAATCATATCTTGGTCACATATTTTTAGGATACATATACTGGTACTGTTATATTGAAACATATGTTTTCAAGGTATCTACTGTAAATTGGTCTGGGAAACAAAATATGTGGATCACAATGTATCTTCCACATTTTCATAGGATATCTACTACAATATCAAAACACATAATTTCAAGGCATCTAAAATGGTCTCAGAAACAAGTATGTGGATAATACGTGGATTTTTCAATATATTTAAGTATATAATATTAGAGCATTTGAATTTTACAATGTACCAAATAGCAGAGCCTAAATGAGATAATTGCTCAGATGAAGAGGACCAGGGTTTATTACAAACACAACCACATAGTAACAAAAGAAGTCCATTATAATAATGATGCAACACATTTCAGTTTACAGTGAATATCAATACACCATTGCCCACGAGGTAATTTTACAGCACACTTAATCTACATACCAAGGTACACGTAACTATTCTGTGCACAAATCATATAAACATTTAAGTTCACCGACATATTCTCACACCGGAAGCTCTGGATGATTTCTCATCTATCTCACTGAAAGTTAATCAAACTATGCTCTCAAAAATATGTATAATATATATATTGTACCCACACAATGTTTAATGATACATGTGGTGTTTTGGCAAAACCTTAAGAGAAAAAAATACATTGAACCCTTCCAGATCTTAGAAAAAAATACAACTTACATCTAATCTTTTTGAAGACATATTCATCTAACTCCCTTTATACACATGTGCCTGGGGGTAGAAGTATTTCCTACTTCCATATACAGAACAATTATCCCAAAATACATTCATTATTTGCCTCATTAAACTGCATATTGTTTCCACGCATGTAAACACTGGCTGTTCCTACAAACACACGATTTGTGGAAATAACCTAAACGGAATACTTATCATATCATTGTCCAAGTACTAATATTTCACAACCTCAATTATGTTTGGAAATAAGGTTCTGCCATGCATAGATCTAATTCAGTAAAAGCAAATTTCCAAAATTGAAGACATGCATCAACGATTCCCCCTTTTTGTTGTAAGTTTTCATTTACCACGCACAAACATGAACATACATGAATTCATGGCACAGCGATGTACCGCCCATTTTCAAACAATATTTTTGTTGGAGGAGCATTGTGTACAGTTTTTTGAAGAACATTTTTAAAAGATTGAGCATTGGTCTCTGTGTGATATTCTAATAGAAAGACTATAAACCTGTACTGACTTGTCAGTGAAAGGGTCTTTGTTAAACAATGTCACACAACTGAACATTGTTGAACTACATACACTCATGAATACACAAATTGGAGGCATTTTGGTGAACAGTTATAGATTTGTAGACATTCATTAACAGTAATTGGAACAAATCAATATAGGACATATTTGACAAACAACATTCACACAGATATATACTGTGACTAATCATAAGCCCTGGTTATTTTAATGTTAAATGTGACAGTGGTTATACATTTGTCACATAAACTTGCAATACCTCTTTGGCTTAATCAGCTGCTTTGAGTCTATGCATTCACATCATGAGTACTTCAAAGTAGCATAAAAATATAAAACTCTTATTTATTAAGGCAATAAATCTCTGTTGAATAACATACACCGTTGATTACGAAAGCACATTGATACGTTAATACCTCTTTTTTAGTGTCTTATACACACATAACTTGTATTGCTTTGATGGCAACAACTATAATAATACCCTTGTGGAATCTATTATTTCTGAACTGCTCTCTTTGGTATACACAGTGATTATGTATCTTTACATGAAGTCACAGATATAATGATGTTGAGGAGAGGAAAGCAGTGGGAATTTAGTGGCTACCCGGGCCATAGTATAAGATATGTGCAAGGTTATATTGTGCTAGCTACTAGACAACATAATAGAACGATAGTTGAAGCTAAAACTCTAATTATATAATGACCAATAACGGAGCAGGTGAATTCAACATGTGTAGCAAGTGTGAAGGGTACAGTAATGAGATAACAATAATGGAAATGTGGTTGAATATTACACAGGGTACTTCCATCGTGAACAAATGCCACACATTTTCTACTACACTTTATATTATCTAATCAGTACCACCTAAAACAATATTCCCACGACATGTATATGACTACACAACAAACAAATGTGTATTTTTCTTTATCACCAGAGGAAAGCTTGTTCTTTAGATCAATTAAAACTTCCCACAAGTATCTTAACCTGTGACTATGTACCAGCCACGAGATCACAGGATTAATACTGAGCAAAAATATGGCAAGTATTCCTATTAATATACTGAAAGGTATTGAATACTTCAATATATTATTTTAATTGACAGGGAAGGATTCAATCAGATCCGTGTAAGGATTTGATGTCTGTCCACTACAACACTACAAGTAAAATGGCATCTTCAATGTTGCACTTATAAACCTACAATATGGAAGAATTGAATCCAACAGACTTGCTCTGTTCAAGATACATACAGGGAATACAAGCAATGAAACGCTGGAAATTAATGATTGTCCAACATATGATTTGTACAGGTTGCATAGCAGTTGTTCCTTCTTCAAAAAGGATACAGGATAGACACAGTTCTAAGGAGAATTACAAGCTAGAATTCTCAAAAATATTCATGGTTAAATCTTTAAAAGTAGTTGGATTACAAAATGAAGCTGTTCTTGAATTAAGTGCCTTCTACACTTGGACACATCATCTAGACTACACATGATTACTGTCACTGTAAACACATCATTAATTGGCACTGGTGGAAAAAAAAGGGGGAAAAAAAGAAGAAGCAATCACAAGTATCTACACGAGTTGTTTTTATAATTACTGGAAAAGCACACTCAGGATACTGTTAATAATTGCAGAAATAGTACAACGATTTGGGAGATTCAAGCGGTGTACATACATCTGTTTATGTACACAACTGACCAACTTCCAGCAGAGGGCAGCCATTTTGTATGGCTCTCCATACCACAATTCACTGGTATAAAATGCTGATTTCTTTTGTTGTTTCCTTTTTGGGATGTTATCTTATCTTGATAAGACCAGTGCCGTCTAAATAAAGAGTTCCCATCGATTCAAATCAATTGCAACTTACTTGATATCAATCACAACTGTGTACTAAAGACATAGAAGTTGAGAAGTTTGCGATCGACTGGAAGACTTACGATTAATCCTAATCAATTGTAACTCTTTATAAGACAAGGTCTAGCATTCCACTTGACGTGACTGTTGACCTTTGGTATGTGAACTTTACTCTGAACCAATCATCTTCACTTGAACCTAACATTACCATACACTGTACTTTACTAGGAACACGCTTGGTCCCACACTATCAAACATACCAGACAAGCACTAACTGCTTAACTCCTTGTCTGGAAGAAGGCTCTTAGAACTATATATTGTCAATGGCAATAACAGCCTTCTTGCAGAGAGTCAACAATTTCTTGTCTTCGGATCTCTACCAACGTCATCTTTGGTGGAAATAAAACCATAAAAATATTCCTTTTGTCTAAAAATATAAAATTCTTCTGATCTATAGCTTGACCTGTGTAGCACTACACAAATCCTACTGATGGTACGTTCTCATGAGTGCTAAAAGCCTTTCTCCATGTGGTCACATGGCTATTCATACTACATGTACGTTTCTGCACAAAAGCAAGTATGGACATGACTGTGCTATGTGAACACGAGCCACTGTCACAAAACTCTTTCAATCGAGACTGTGTTTTTGAAACACGAGCCATCCCTGGCAAGAAGACATTCTGTGACTACACTATCTGGGTGTGAGTCACTGTCTCACCTGCCTTGCCGAGCCTTATGCTCACTTGTGTTCTGGTTTGCAAGTGTGCTTTCTGCACCAATTTACAACCACAAAACACAAAGTATGACTGACCATGTTTTGGAGACATGTGTCAGGTTGCCGTGACAACATTTTTTATTGGTGACTATGCTTTGTGAACATGAGTCACAATCTGAATGCTTGTTGAAACGTTGGCTTGTACTATCTGCTATCCAGTCTGCCGCTATGCACTTAGCATGAGACAACAAACATGGGGTAAGAGATGGTCCAAGCTGGCTCAAACCGATCACTCCGAGCTTGGATGTACAAATCGGATCTCTCCATTTTCCTTCCAGCCTTTGAAGACGTCTTGCTCTGCGCCGAGAGGATGACCACCGACCTCTAGGTTGTCATGGTAACTGAATAGTGAGCAGGCGGTGAGCATGGGGTCCTTGTAGTATAAAGATGCTACATCGTTTCTTGGGTTTTCACTGCAAGATGAAGAGTCAAGAAGTAGTGTTATACATAAATGAGTGATGGAATGACATTATTTCCAAATTACATATTCCTCATCTTCTAAAACTACAGTAAGCAGGTGATCTTTCTACCAATATTGAGGTAATTGCCAAACTTTCTCTGTGCTTTCTACTTCAGTGTGATATTTGACGCATTGTAGGGTACAGATCAAATACCATTCACATCAAACCCTTGTTAAATCAATACTTCATGTGTAAATAATCAACTGCAACAAACATTATTTACTACTCAATGTTGGATATCCACACATCAGCAACAAAAACAATGTTTGCTTTAACACCACCTTATCATGTATCTGTAAGCGTGTGTTATTCTTCGTGATCATTCTTACTGATCAGGCCAGGTATTGTTACCAACCCAAGATGTATCTAGAGCTAGTCATGTATCTCACCTGCAGAAATTCTTGGGGAGCATTCCATAGACTGTGATAGATGAACACGTGTCCTTCATAGCCATCAAAGTGTACATGTCGGTAGAGAACTCTGCGCTGGATGCATGCCTGATGCAGGAATGCAAGGAAGATGACAATATGACAGATGTTGTTTAATTGTACAATTGTAAATGTAAATGTATCACAAGTGATTATGATTTTGTTGGGTCTTTTCCAGAAACCTGCTTTCCCTGACTTTACTACATCCTGTCATAGATATAACATGTTTTCTAAACCTATATTTTGCACAACACCACAATCTGAAGGCACAAAACTTCAAATATACTTCCAGAGTGAAACTCCTATAATAAAGGTTACTGCAGTAAAGGTTAAGATTAATATATCCTTTAATGGGAAATCATTATATTCAAGTCATTGGAACATATATAAAGGCATTTTAAGTATTGATGCTATATTTCAGTTTCATAGTTACAGGTGAATATAGATAAGAGAAAGAACAGCCCTGGTAACTTTGTACAAGACTCCATGTCTCACCTTGAGGTTCCTGTATGTTTGAGAAGCTCAAAGTCAGCCCTGTCCTCTAGACCCCGTCCAGCATGATACATCTCCACATCAGGCTGGGATGCCTTGATACGCCACAGGTATTTCTGGAATTGGTTGCTAGAGTAAACATGCTCCGGCCCATGGAAGATGAGATGGGTGGCGCTGGGCTTGAGGGCGAGCAGGGTGTCTGCTTGGAAAGCCACATCAGAGAGGCTATGATAAAATAATGGAAAAGGAAGACACAAAGGTTAGATAAGATACATAATAGTGGAGGGATGTAAGGGACATACGGGAGAAGAGGTGGAGAGAGGGTGAGAGAATGGATAAAGAACAGGGAGAGATAGATGAAGGTGAAAAAGAGAAGAGATAGAGAGATAGATGGGAAAGGAAGGGGAGGGGAAGAGAGAGAGAGAGAGACAGGGGGGGGGGGGGGAAGAATGCTCTAGAACAACGTCGATCTGGCGCTGCTCAGTGGCTGCCGGGATAAATAAAGTTTGGAGTGGACTTTAAAAAAGATTATTATTATTATTATTATGTGATTTCCATATCTAGCTAAATTCTCTAATAGTACAACATTTAAGCTAGAGAAAATCCAGTCAACAAATATAGATTTATTCCTTTCAAAGTTTAGATGGATAATAACTAAAAGAGCATATTGGTTAATACACCCTTACTTAATCAGCATTCAAAATAATCAAAGTAGAGCATCTATTATATATGCTATGTGCAAGCTTATAAGAATACAATTTGAAGAATTTGATCCAGAGGACTGACCCTGACGCGGTCCTCGTTACAACGAATCTTACCTGGAATATGAGACAACCCTGACGGTGGTCCTTCTCCCTACATCTCTCTCATATCCCACGGTAGGTGCATCATCCATTCTGAACACACAGTCCGCTTGGTCTATCTCCTTCCCTAATGAACTCTGTCTCATTAGGCCTATGTTCAAAGTAAAAACAATACAGAAGAGTGTCAATGGAGTGAGAAAATTAAAATATTATGAAGTTATCCACTTTCCGAACTCCACTAAAAACATACCTATTTCAGATTGCTTACAATTAGTCACTGCTTTTTTTGTCTTTCCCAGTCTCATCAGCGCCTTTGATTAGGCAACTGCATTGTAGATATTGGCGCTTTATAAATATCTGGATTGGATTGGAATGCTCAGTCTAAATGTATAAAAATATACAATTTTTAAATCATTTTTTCTTATATGATGGATACAGTGACTATGCCCAATAAAACTATCACCTAACTTACCAATATTTCATAACAAATAATACTTTAAAGGTTTAACATAAACAGATAGGAGAGGAAGTTGTGCAGGTCAGTGTGTACATGTAAGGTGGAGCTGGGTATTCTAAAAGCATTGTCCCAAGGTCTCACAACAATAGGTGATCATTTACGTTTAATCAGAGCGTGAGTTGACAATTCAGATTTGACCTGCCGTACAATAAAGGACCCAGGGCCTTTTGTTGGTCCTTTTTGTGTTGCCCAATTTCATATTAAACAACTACAGGAAACAATCTGGTCAGATAGATGACCAGCTCTTACAAATCACATGCTTAGGTCAAGGACGTTTGTGATTTTCTATTTCATACAGCTTGAATAATTTGGTAAGTGGTCAGAAGAAAAGCGAACCAATATATGAAAACAATCTCAATTCTAAAGGAAAGAATACATTTCAATATTACACAAGCACAGGTCATTTTCTGTTAACAGAAAGAGGTGTGTTCGCTTGGGTGAACAGGGAGTACAAGTACAAGATAGTACCCATCATTATGGTTAAGATAAAAAAAGAAAATGAATTATGTATCCATGCCAAAAACTCTAAAGTGCAACCTAACTCCCTTGATTCCTTACCTGAGTTTGCTACAAAAGAGCACGATCCACACTGAAGGTCAAGCTGATGTTCTTCACTGGTCATTAGAGGGACATAGTCTTTAGTATCTACTGATGACTGGACATCACGTCTAAATCTCTCAATGGCGGATGTGCGGGCTTGAAGTCTATGCCTTCCTAGGAGTCGTCTCTTATCGTAGCGAGCCTAAAATAAAAAAGCACAATCAGAATATAACGCGTGTCACAATATTGAGACCCATAAAATTTGTGTCATGGTAATAAAGACAAGTGGTTAATATCATGTTACTAACAAGCATGTAGAAAGACTAAATTGCCGGAGAAAATTTTTACCCTTTTCCTTTCAAGAAAAATATATCCAATCACTGTCCTGTTTGGTTCTCATATCACATTTTCTTGTTTTCCTTCTTTGTTGTTTCGTTCCTGGATATCAAATTTTGTTTTACATGCTTGGTGGGGATTTAAAATTTGATCATCCCAAAAAAAATGGTTCAAACTGTAGTATGACTATTAAATGTTGTAAGGATTGATTTCCATATTCCACAGAGAACAAAGCCTCCATGAAAATAAAAATATTACAGTCATTGAAAATATGTTATAAAATGTAGTCACATATCCTTGAGTACAAATTGTCCATTAGTTGTTGAATTTATACTGGTACAATAAATTATAAAAGTATACAGCACCCTCAACGTGCTTGTTAATTGTGGTTTGACCACATGCTTTCACTTTGTTCTGTACTCACCTTCAAATCAATGGGCATGGCAGGCAGCTCATGTTGGATATAATTAGGGCCGATGACCTTTTTCTCAGTGGGATAGCGTCTCTGTAACCTGACCCTGTGAGGGAGCCTTGCACCAGAGCCAGAGTTGAGGTCAAGAAAGGCAAAGGGAATGCAGCAACAAACAAGCAACGATACCACTGTTACCCTTGCTGACTGGCGGGAGATTATATCCGGCATGACTGTGAAGGAACCGCAGCATGTACATGTATCTGATGAAAAGAAAATGAGATGAATAATGAGATGAGGTTTAATCAAATTTCATTAGAATTTGAGATGTTCCTAAGACACAGAAAGGAGGAGAGGCAGAAACTGAAGACTGTCTAGAGAGCACGTGCAGACCACGTGTAGGCCGTTTCATGACTTCATCAATACCTCCACGTACTAAACCCAATTAGTCAATACAAAATACATGTATTGTACCTTTATCGCTTTAACTGTTAAGAATGAAAATCTCAAGCGGTTTGAAAAACCACGTGCTTTCACAAGATAATTGAGCATTTCCTCCAATCTCAAACAAAGAGTGCAAGATTCCCTTTTCAAGTTGGAGAATGATAGTGCGGTGTAAAGAACAAACTACTCGGGACCAAGAAAATTTCCTTATTGTAATAAGATCTTGTTAGGAACAAAGGGTACAAAGGGAACTTAACAAGTTGCACTGTATAACAGTGTTCTCCCCTCAAGTGTGAAATGTGGATATTGTACAAATGCATGAGTTTTTTTTCAATTACCGGTATCTTTTCTTTTTGTGCAGTCTCTCCCCTCAAGTGTGAAATGTGGATATTGTAAAAATGCATGAGTTCTTTTCAATTATCTTTCCTTTTTGTGCAGTTTATCAAAAATTGTCTGCACTATCCACTAATAAATTTATGACTGAAAATTGTACTGAAAACAACCCCTCGTTTCTTATAATTCCATTCAAATTTTAAATATGTAAGGAGTGAAAACATATCAAATGCTTTGAAAAACCAATAGGCCATAGCTCAAAAAGGAAAGCCATTATTTAAATCATATATTTTTTACAACCCAGATGACTTGATGTTCAACAGCACACACTTCGAACAGATGCTGTGACTGAGCCAGAGCGGAAAAGTAATTTGATGACTAAAACTATGATATGGGTACAGGTGTAGAAAGAGAATGCTCCCATCAACAGACTCTCATGCCATGACCACATGGTTACTGTATGATGATAGATCAGCAGAAACAAAGCTGATGGTTTGAGCCAGGTAGGCAGTACTAGGCATACAAGAAATTTGCTCGAGATATTTTGCTCAGTGTTCGCCTATACATGTAGTGAAAGTCTTCGGGCTGGTGAAGGCGGACCGGACAAATACTGTAGCGGGCTATTTTGCAAACTAGCCCAAGATATCTTGGAAAGATTTCCCGAGCAAATAGCCCGCTATTTCGTGATCGGGCTAATTTCCAGAACCAGAAATAGCGGGCTATCTGTCCAACTCGAGCTAATGAAGACAGGCCTTATGGGTATTAAAGTAGTAAGACTGGGAGATTACAGCAAGGGTTCACTCAGCTCACATTCACACCCTCTCGCCTTTAAATTGATCCCTGGATCCTAATCCAATCATGCAGTCTTACTACACTGGCAATGATTCAGTTCTCTCACTGTGTCACCCAACCAAAAAATTACTTTTTTTTTTACGAGGGCTCTTTTCAGATTTTCCCTTAAAAAAATAGCCCCCTTAATTATTTTGCGGTGGCTATTTTGGAGCTCAGGGGGGCTTTTTTTTTTAAAGGTTGTATTTTTTTTAAACGCGGTTTTACCTAATTAAATTCCAAGCAAAGGCAAATATAGATACAATTGTAGCGTACATATGTCATGTAGAGTATTGCAGACATTCAGATACCCATGATTTATTCACTTTGTGTTAAACGTGTGGCTTTATGATTTACATACATGTAACTAAAACTTGTCAAAAGGAGTGTTTTGTTTAACTGTTCGTTTTTCATATCCTAAGAAAATATTATCACTGACACGCGGGCTAGGAATTAATTTTTTTATGGGGGCTACTTTTCCCCATTGCCTAAAAAAAACCAAGGGGCTACTTCCTTCAAGCCATATTGTAAGCTGTAACAATAAGTTGTGTTTTTCCTTAGCCATCATACTACTAGCAACCAAATTGGTAGGTAATATGTTATTTAGTCTTTTTTTCTGTCCCAAATTTAATAGTTATCATGGACAATGCAATCCCATTAAAAAAAAATGTAGACCAACTCCCTTTAAAATTGTGTTATTTAGACCATTTATAACCATTAAATGTGAGTAAATATTTTTACTGTTGTCCCACATACCGATGTAGGGTCTATTTGTTATGCCGAAACATGCAAAATCATGGCCTTATTTTTTTTTATAGACTCTAATTCTAAAGGCCAAGCCAAAGCTAGTTTCATTTCGTAGACAGAAATTGATGTCATCATCACTCATGACAATTGGCCTGGCATCGATCGTATATAAATAATTTAATTTAATTAAACAGTTGTAAGAAAGATTCTGAGGAGTAGGAACATCCTTTATATATTTATTTACGGTTTTTTTATAACAAAATTCAATTTCTGTGTACGAAACTTGTTTTATACCGATTTTACAGGAAAAAATCCGGCATTGATTTTGCACGTTTCGTTATTACAAATATATCAGTATGTGGGACAACAGTAAAAATATACTCGCATTTAATAGTTTTAACTTATAAATAACACAATTTTAGACGGAATAACATTTTTTTTAATGGGATTGCATTGTCCATGATAAAAATTAGGGCCAGAAAAAAGACTAAATAAACATATTACGTACCAATTAATGAATTTGGTCGCTAGCAGTTGAGCTCTCGTCACTCGCAAATACTTATTTGCTTCATACAAGGAGCGTGCGGACGCGCGCTGGAGCTGAGCTAGTACGTTTCTGTGTATTGTGAACTTGTGCGAACTGCGTATGCATTCATGCTGTGCACGAAACTACATCGGGGCCGGTGGCCTGTCCGGCCGCCGGGAGCTTAGGCGCAGGCAGGCGGATACCGCTGTAGATCTAGCTACAGTAGGTACGACCGCCGATCCGCTGCAACTCACAAAACTTTTAAAATGTTGATGGAAGTTTCTAGTTTTGGAGTTGGTAGTTGGAACGGAGATTTCACTCAGACCCATCAATAAATTGGTTTATTAATTCATAGGGAATATCAATTTATGGCGGGGGCGATTTTTCATGATATATTGATTTTTTTTCGCCCTCGTCTTGATTTTTACCGTGGCGATTTCAGAGGTTTAGGGGGCGAATCGCCCGTCGCCACCGTGTATTTTTTTCGTTGGTGTCACCTCGTGTTCAGAGCACTTCCTCAACGGATAGCATACGAAGAGCGGCACTAGAGGTCGGGGCGTGGCCGAGTCAAAGGATACGTCACACTTCATGCATATTCATTATACAGCGCGCGCGTAATACAAACGCGACATAATGCTAGTCATAATGCCAGTGCGGCATGCATGTACTTCTCAGATCCTCATTCGACCAAATACAATGAAAACGATTACCGGTGCTCTCAAATTTAGCCATATTTTGTCGTAAAATAATGTTCCGCTTGTGATTCATTCATTCATTCATTCATTCATTCATTTCGGTTTATTGTGTCAAAATTCAATGTTAAAACAGTCGGCGACTGATACAAACAAAGATTACAAAGTTCAAAGAAATAAAGAGAAATTACAAATAATCATGTACATCAATATGGAACGATCACATATTAGTTTAAGGAATAAATTAACAATGATGATAATGGTAACTTCAATATATTGCAAAGATTACAAAGTTCAATAAAGAGAAATTACAAATACATGTACATTAATATGGAAACGATCACATTAGTTCAAGGAATAAACTAACAATAATGATAATGAAAACTTCAGTATATTTCACATCATACATAAAACAAATCGAACTTACATGGATGAGTGGGTAAAAAAAAAGGTAACAAAGAGAGAATGGACAAAGCATTTCATTTCCTTTTCTCGTAATATTTAGATTTTGAGCCTTTACATTTTAAACACATTAACATAAATTGATAGGTAAAATGTGATGGTGATATTAATTGTGATGTGGGGACATTTTTAACATATTAATCGGATTTACATGTTTTAAAAATAAACAACTCTATACTAGTAAATATGAAGAAAGTTGGAAATTAAGAAATGAAAAGGGCACCTGTAGAAGATCTAAAGAATCACCTCAAGTTCCGCTCCTTTATTAATGTGTTCTTTATATCACAGACCCGACCGCCGCTAGTGCCGCTCATACGACCTCTAGTTCTGCCCCTTTATTAATATGTTCTTTATATCACAGACCCGACCGCTAGTGCCGCTCATACGACCTCTAGTTCTGCACCTTTATTAATGTGTTCTTTATATCACAGACCCGACCGCTAGTGCCGCTCATACGACCTCTAGTTCTGCTCCTTTATTTGTGTTCTTTATAATTATGACAGACCCGACCGCTAGTGCCGCTCATACGACCTCTAGTTCTGCTCCTTTATTAATGTGTTCTTTATATCACAGACCTGACCGCTAGTGCCGCTCATACGACCTCTAGCTCTAGTTCTGCACCTTTATTAATGTGTTCTTTATATCACAGACCCGACCGCTAGTGCCGCTCATACGACCTCTAGTTCTGCTCCTTTATTTGTGTTCTTTATAATTATGACAGACCCGACCGCTAGTGCCGCTCATACGACCTCTAGTTCTGCTCCTTTATTACTGTGTTCTTTATATCACAGACCTGACCGCTAGTGCCGCTCATACGACCTCTAGCTCTAGTTCTGCACCTTTATTAATGTGTTCTTTATATCACAGACCCGACCGCTAGTGCCGCTCATACGACCTCTAGTTCTGCTCCTTTATTAATGTGTTCTTTATAATTGTAGAGATATCTACATATGATCCTTGAGACAATGTGGTAATTTCATGGTTCTTTGTTTATTAACACTCAACTGAACTCCAATCATTTCCATACACCGGAATGTACAAAGTAGCAATAATAGTAGTAGTTTAGTAGGTAAAACAAAGTTTTCCTTCCTTGAATCCGTGCCCACATCATATCATATCTGTAGTTTCCATGTGACAAGCCTAGCTACGTTTGTACAACAATTCCAGTCAATCTACGGTATCCTCAAAACAAAAACTAAATTTGGCTTCTTATATCTTGATCCTTACATTC